TCGAGCCCAGATATTCCAGCCTAGTTTGGCAAGGGTGGAAACTAGACTTTTATAGTCAGTTAACTCCCTTGCCTCGGGAAGATGAAGGTAAATGACCAACTAAATGATACATTAGAAAGCAAAATTAAGCTTGAAGAAATTGCAAATGAAGTATAGAAATGTATTTAAAAATAATAAAAGCACTGGGATTGATAGATTACCTATGAAATTTTTATTTTTTTATAAAATGTTTGGGAAAGACCTGAAAGTTTAGATATTAAGATAAGTCAACAATGTTTGTGATAAAAATGCAGTGAGTTTATCAATGAAAAGAGGAGTAATCACAAGATTATTGACCCATGTATAACCAATTAAGTTAACTCCTAAAGAACTTGTACATAAAAAAAACCATCCTGGATTCATCCCAGGTAGATGTGTCAGTGAAAATACTGGGCTATTGTACCATATGATGTTTAAAACAACCAGATGAAATAAAATGGGTCTACTCCTACTGATAGAATTTGAAAAGTCATATGACATTTTTTTATTGTTTTACAAAAATATTGTTTCAGCCTTAAAATAGAAAGTAGGGATAAACATATTATCCTATGATACTGCATCTTGTGTAATTCAAAATGGACATTTTATTTTACAAACAAAAGAGGCTGTTGACAAGAAGATCCATTAACACCGCATCTCTTGCTGCTCGTACTTGAGGTTTTAGCATTCATGATCAGAAATGATGGTGATATTAAAGGAATAGTAATGAAAACAGAATAACGTAAATTAGGTCAATATGCTGCTGACGACACTCAGTGCTTCCTGGATAGGTCAAACAAAAGTCAACCTAGTACCTCTGCCACATGCCAGGGATATGTGATGATACATCACCCCTTTACACAGTCCATTCAACAAATTATATTTATTTAAAAAGTGTACACATTTAGTTAACAATCCATGTTCCCGCTGGCTTTTGAAACCAGCCCCCCCTAATTTTTGTCGGTCTCAACTTTCAACAAATAAAAAAAAATGTATAAAAATTACCTGGTTTTAATTCTTTCAACATTATGCTTAATGCAATGGCGTCATCTCTGACGTAACACAGTTGGATCTACTGGTAATTACCGGTTAACAGGAACACTGACAATGTCATGAAATGATTAACTTTCACTGAGAAAATCTGTAAAACTTGAAAAACTATTTCCATTTGCCTACTTATCCTTTGTTAGCATTAGTTATACAGTTCCACATCGAGGATAGCTACTGTCACTTTGATGAGCAATGATAGGTTGTCACCTCATTACTTTGCCGTTGTTGTAGTAGGATGTCTTTATTAAAATACAAAACACTTTATCATACCTCCATCTCCGAATGATGAGATCAGATTTGTCCACGTGATCTTGATAAATACTATGTATCCCACCTTGGTGGGAAATAATTTCTCAGCAGGTGAATAAATCCCTTATACCTCGCCATGAACAAGTCAGACTGCGCATGAATTTCTGAGAGGAAGAATAAACCTTTTATACCCCGCTTCGACGAAAAAGCCACACGCTTTTTCTGAGTCTATGAAAGTCACATGACATCATAGCACATGTTAACCTCAGCTCAATCGAACAGCTGTTTTCTATCAATTTTGAATTTGTTTTTAGTCTTTTACAATGTCATATTAAAACATGTTGGTAAGATAAATTCGTTGTAGCAGGATCACTCGGGGTACATTGGGTCTTATGCATTCTTCGTCAGGGTTCTGTACCACGAGCTGTTTAGTGGTATAAAACCTAAGGCAGGACGCATAAAACCCCCTGCACCCTCGTGATCCTACTCTGATTTATACTGTACACTGAAAGACTTCCATTATCACTGACTGCTCTGATTTCATGATTAATGTGTTTGTTTACAAACAAGAGAAAAGATTGTCATGTTATATGCAAATTAGCTTGTGGCAGTGGTGTAATGAATGCGCCAGAGTGTGACGTTTCATAGCATTGACATCATGGCATAGTAACCATGGTAACGTTACAATGTGACAAGATTTTACAACTATGAGATCATATATATTATTTGTTTGTTTATTGTTTAACCCAACACTCAGCAGTATTCGAGCTATATGACGGCGGTCTGAAAATAATCGAGTCTGGACCAGAAAATCCAGTGATTTATATCATGAGCATTGTTCCACGCAATTGGGATCGATGACATGCATCAACCAAGTCAGCGAGCCTGACCACCTGATCCTGTTAGTCGCCTCTTACGACAAGCATAGTCGCCTTTTATGGCAAGCATGGGTTGCTGAAGACCTATTCTACCCTGGATCTTCACGGGTCTATAGTAGTACTTGCAGTGTATCTCAAGTGACCAAACTCTTGATCAGTTGACCACGTTGACCATATTGTACAAAGAGATAGGTCATGATTATGGTAAGCTCAAGATTTTGTTTCTTTTTCCGAGAATCTTTCTGCCAATGTTTCTTTGTAGCGATAAGATATATGGATGAACAACTTCTTTATTACAATTAGGAGCAACGTTACAATGTAGATTCTACCGAAACGTCCCTCCTTATCATGCTAATTGTAATAAAGTTGTTCATCCATATATCTTATCCTTACTTAGTAGGGCGGTCGGGTAGCCTAGTGGTTAAAGCGTTCGCTCGTCACGCCGAAGACCCGGGTTCGATTCCCGACATGTGTACAATGTGTGAAGCCCATTTCTGGTGTCCCCCGCCGTGATATTGCTGGAATATTGCTAAAAAGCGGCGTAAAACCATACTCACTCACTCACTTACTTAGTACTCCAACTTCTAGATGCCTCTGAAAGAAGTTACAATGTTTCTTTAACTCACTATAGAGGTTGACATGGTTGAAGTGCCATAAAATTATTTCTTCTTAAATCAGGTGAGCTACAGAGGTTAACATGGTTGAAGTGTCATAAAATTAGGTGAGCTACAGCATGTACAGAACCTTGTGGCTTTGTGTGCTGTTCAATATGTAATTTGGTATGTGTAGTTCATGGTTACCAGTGGGACCCAACACATATGGTCAGTTTTTTTGTGATAATTTCAAATTTGACATAAATTCGGCCTTTGCACTTTGACAACACTGAAAGCTGAAACTTCTTAAAGCCTTACTCAGCCACTTACTTTCATAATGTAATGAAATTTTGTGTACCGTATTCGACGTAAAAGCGCCCCGCTCTAATAAGCGCCTACGGCGACATTTGCTAATATTTTGGCTAGTGAACAATCCCAATTAGCACCCCTTCCGATGGATCAATGTACACAAGACTTATTTATTCGCGTATAATACGCACTCGTGTGTTGTATGCACCCTTAATTATGGGCAATTAAATTCTGGAAAAATATATCTGTCGTACATAAACACTTCAGGCTGTCAGCATAAACCACGAAATTTATCTTTCAACTCTGTTTTTTTCACCAAACTAATATTAAAATAAGAGCCACCTATCTATAATTTCGAGAGCGCCCTGAGCGCTTATTACGTATGTACGGTATGTCTCACTAGTAGAGGTCCTCAAGACATGTTCCTTTTTACACTTTGTGTTAAGTTTGGACCTTTATTTGACATTTGTGAATTTTGACCGTGCTTCAGTGTTTTCACAAAATGCATTTCCTTGTACTGTCAACATCACCTCCTGAGAAACCACTTGACCATTAAAGCTGAAACTACAAATGCCTGTTCCTACCAATGAGGACATCTGAATTATGTAAAGAGATGTGAATCTGATTCGATATGAGCACCACAGGAGCTAAAGTAAAAGCTATATATCGCTACTGTTCAGCTATTTCTGCTAAGATATACTCTAAATACCCTTAAACTAGTTTGTAAAACAGGTTTGAAAAATTGTATGGCATTAGAAAAAGTATCCTGCTTTTATAACTGAGTTTAAAGCAGTCCAAGATGAATTCTGAGGTAAAATTATCAAAGTTCTGCTGTAAAATTACCAAAATTCTGCTGCTAGAATTCCAAAATTCTGTGGTAAAGCATGACCATATCCCCCACCAACATTTATTTAAACTCATTTAAAACATTTAATTTCTTGCAATTGGACATTTCAAAATATTAAATTATGCAAATACATATATGTATCATGATGCATAGTGTCTGATATTTATTTATGGTAAGGTTAGATGTAAACACTTTATGTCGTAATACCACGGTAACATAAAAAAGTGAGATTGTAGGATTAATATTTTGTATGTTTGTATGTTTGGGCATCAGTTAAGTGCAAATTTCAATAGAAAAGCTGGAAAATAGTAAAAATTAGTATATTGATTGATAAAAGAAGGCAAATTCCACTATATTTCTGCAATTCTGCGGTATATTACAATTTCTGCAAATCTCTCCACGAACGCAGAATTGCAAAATTTGTCTGGGACTGTAAAAGTAAATATCAATGTTTTGTATTGCAACAATGCATTACAAAAGTACATTCATTCTTGCAAAATTAGAAAAACATTCTTATTTGTTAATATTTTTTTTCCAAACTATGTATGCAGAAAATATTTGAATAACAATTCTGACAGCACTTTCCTTTAAGCGGTTGTTGAATGATTGACTTCATATCCAGATGAGCTACAGGGCTGTGGCACTATTTTTGAACACTATTTTGTGGTGTACAGTGATCCATCGCTACAACGCTACCTTCGGGGTCCAAATAATTGATGAGCGTTATAGATGATCAGCGGTTTAATGAGGGTCGAGTTGGAGGTGGTAGATGACCAACAAAACAGTATACATGCTCTGCCCACCTAACACGAGCTAAGTTGCACGTTTCAGAGTTTAAAAAAAGATCAGAATAGAAGTTATTTATGACCATGATGACTCATAGTGTAAAAGAAATTCGAGTAATAATATGCGCTTTAAAAAACCCACATCGTATCCCTTCAGCGAATTGTATGACCAGATTGTTGAACATGTTGAATGTTTGTGTTTTGGGGGATCTGATTACATTCTGTTCATTCTTTATTTAATACAATAGCAATTGTCTTCGTATGTTTGTAGATGTGAGAGCAGCACCACCTGCATTAGGGGACAGTATCAACAGCAACAACAGCAGCAGCAGCGATGGCCCAACTACTTCCACCACCTCCCCAAACAACTCACCACGGTACTGTGTTCATTGATGATCTCTATCATTGATTGGTTGATCAAATCAGGGATTTGTCCTCTTAAATTGGTTCATAATTGGTTACTTTGGGATTATTAACATTAGTATCACATGTATATAACACAGAAATCTGGCTGCAGACAAGGGTTCACATGTTTCAAGCTCTGTTTGTGTTCGATCTATTCCAGTAGATGTGTGTGTGTGGCACAGAATATGAAAAGTACATTTTTAGACTTTTGCTATTCAATATATTGTTATTTTTGTAATTACAGAAGCCTTTCATTTTTCATTGCTTGGTTTACACTTCAGGTCGATACATGTAATAAAACTAAGATATGAAAAAACACTATTTTTTTTATTTTTAAAAATTTGTCACTTAAAAGTGAAGACAGTTGGGTAAAAAACAAAACAACAACACATGACCAGTTTTACAATATTTGAAGCCAAGACATCCATAGTAGCAGGAAAAAAATATATTATATGACACATATACTGTCATTAAAGTTATGCCAAATAAGTCTGAAAGATGGGTTGCCTTCCCTTGGCGGGCCAGGAACCTATGGTCATTGGTTCGAGGGGCGGTCGGGTAGCCTAGTGGTTAAAGCGTTGGCTCGTCACGCCGACGACCCGGGTTCGATTCCCGACATGGGTACAATGTGTGAAGCCCATTTCTGGTGTCCCCCGCTGTGCTATTGCTGGAATATTGCTAAAAGCGGCGTAAAACCATACTCACTCACTCACTCACTCATTGGTTCGAATTGGTTTATGTTTCTAGGTTTGTCAGCACTATACCTGTGCTTGTAGGTTTTACCTAAGTGGTAAACACCTGAGACCTGCGGAACCTCAGGCTTTCCTCCCACATTTAGCTGACACATTGGGATAAAACTGGAATATTATTCAAAGCGGCATTAAACCCAATTCACTCACTTATCATCCCAATGCATATAGGTATTAATAATCCAAGTTTACAAAGATTAGTCACTGTGTCTATGATAGAGTAAATAAATATTACCTCTAGCGTTAGCTTGGTGTATATCAGGGTAGAAAAGAAATACCAGTGTGATATGATATGGTGACGCCAGTCTGCAGATAACAGATGATCATGATGATACTGTTGATATTGATGACCCTACAGTACAAGTCCAACATTTAGTCTCAGAGGGTTTGGGAGACTATCGTCTATGTATAATTTGACAGAGGTGAATTGGCGTAGTTTTTATTTAGTGGATCTGGGAGCAAACAAACATTTATTCTGGGACTGAACAGGTATGTCAGGTCAAAATGAATATATAACAAATAGGATCTATGGTGATGGGCTGGTACTATTTACCTCAGACCAGAACAATTTCTTTTCTTCTTTTATGGATTTCTAAACCTCAAATTTCTGGAGGGAGGTGAGAAATGATACACCACGTTTTTTAGGTTAATGTTGTTGTTTTTTAAACAACGCTACCCTTTTGCATCAGGTGAACCTTTGCTATATTGAGCGGCGACTAACAGGATTGGGTGGTCAGGCTCGATAACTTAGTTGATGCATGTCATCCTATCCTAATTGTGAGGATCGATGCTCATGATGTCAACGGCCAACCACTGGATTGTCTGGTCCAGACTTGATTCTTTACAGCGTTAAACAACAAACAAACAAAAATATTTCTGCCTACAATGCTGTTTCACATGACCAGGCTTCAAAGTTTAATTTTTTACAAAGTAGCCATATGGCTACAAGTATTTTTTTCCAGGTAGCCAGTGGTAAAATCAAGAAGTCAAGCCAATATTGTAGGTAACCAAAAGCATTTGAAAGTATCTTTTATCAAATAACTATTATATGTACAAGTCATAGCACTGGTCTTTGAATTGTGTATAAGTGGAAACTGTACTTGAGTTTTGTTATTTGTGACTCGAACAGTGACACAATTTATGTTTACTAGATTATGTAGGTATATTCTTGCTTATCCTTGCTTATCCAATAAACTATCAACTAAAAAAAATACTAATTACATTAATATTTATGTATTTCCATTCATTGTTGACTTTAGGAGGAATTAATTGTGAGTACAATTAGCAACAGACATGTTTATTTTTGTGTCTACATAGGTGTAGCAGTCGGATTAAGTCGCCACAATATATTTTTCAAGGTAGTCATTTAGCGAAACTAAGGTCACTTTGGCGACCGTTTTAGTCGCAACTTTGAGGCCTGATGACATCTAGTTTCTATATGTCCATGTGTTGCCCCAAGTTAAATACACATCTAAGTGCTTTTGTGCATTATTCACAGCAGTGAGTTTATGTATTTGTGGTTATACTTATATATGTATATATATATATATAATATTGGGTTGAGGAAATTGTTCATGCATATGTGTTTGAAAATGACTCAAAATTATTTGGGTAGTCGGCTGTAATATTTGTATATATTTTGTATTTTACGCAAATCACAGCTTATCTTGAACTCTGGATGTATTGCAATACAGTCTCTACATTGCAACATAACAATATACAACATGTACCGGTACAGTTGTGGCTGCCACTATATATCCCTCTCCTGCTGGAATATTGTTGAGTGTGGCGTTAAACAACAAACAAATAAATAAACATCCCTGTTCAGTAGGTAGTTATGTGGGACAATTGAGGAAAAAAGCATTGGAATTTTATTTGAACATGACGTGAAATCCGATATCTTTGTAGTTCTCAAAGGTGATCAAACTATTATGCCGCAAGTTTGTTCATGTTTGTTGGTTGTGTGGGGAACGTTATGGCATACTGTCATGTGAGCTAGTGTGCTGGCATGCAGGTGTCTCTTATCTTGCCTACATGGCTGTGTTGTGCTGCCAACTTCCTTGTAGTAGTCTGTGTCCTGAAAAAGTAGTTTGTGTGTATAACTAGCTGGTTTATTGTTTGCTGAGAGTGACATGTTACTCTTCCTGTTGTCATGGTTGTATTAAAAAGGATTTTAACAGTTAATTTCACGGTAATGAATTTTAAACTACATCCTAATGACCTAACGAGAAAATACACAAGGTAATCTTAATCCCTGGATGTAAAACAATGCCTGGCAGAACAAAAAATACAATTTAAACGGTAAATAAATTTGTCTGGTGATTTTTTATCTCAAATTTTGAATTTGTACTGACCAAGTTTCTCATCACCCGTTTGTTTACCGGAATTCGCTGAAGGGGTAGATCTACAGTGTAATTTATTTCTGCACTTGACATTCGATTTTCCCCCCTAAAATACTGAATCCGCTAGAGGGGGTTGCGCACTATACTCAAGAAAATACTGGTAATTGATATAGGAAATACCCACACACTTGTGTGAACTCTCAACATCTACTGAATGTCGTATTGAATCGTAGACCATTCATTGTGTGCTATGATGAATAGATAAACCACTAAACTCGTGAAGTTCACGTAATAATTTTCAAACAATCCTGATAGTGCAACAAGTTAATTTTAAATCACACACATTCAAGTACACACACGTCTTTCCATGTATCCACATTCACCCGCTGACCGCACAGGCCACAGACACCTAAACGAGCCTCCTGGTGGTAATGAAGGCCGGGAATCAACCAAGCGCTAACGATGAAGTGACACCAATACACAGGACATTCAAAGTCCTTTTACATGCGCTTCAGTGACTTTGACCACGCACGCGAAAAACCGGGTCCTGCAGTAGGAATTGAAAATCCACATCCCAGAGAGGCCACCCTGACTGATGAGCTAATAGGAATAATTTTATTTAACTGTTTTAGATCACTGTATGTTAAATATATGTTCGTATTAACATAATAATTCCACAAAATGTTTTCTTATGATTATTAAATTGTAAGAAGGAGTTTGATTTGTGAGCTTCAGACTGATTCAAGTGCTTATGTGGGTGTAGTGTATTTGTATGACTGTGGTGTACCGTACTTTAAAATCTGCAGAATCCAATACCAGCTGATTACTTAATCAACACTACCCTTGAAGATCCGGGATAGAATAGGTCTTCAGCAACCCATGCTTGCTGTAAAAGGCGACTATGCTTGTCGTAAGAGGCGACTTATGGGATCAGGTGGTCAGGCTCACTGACTTGGTTGATACATGTCATAATCATTGATCCCAAATATGTGGATCGATGCTTATGATATCAATCACTGGATTGTCTGGTCCTGACTTGATTATTTACAGACTGCCGTCATATAGCTGGAATATTGCTGAGTGCGGCGTTAAACAACAACCCAACAACAACAAACGTCTACGACCCGCACCTTAACTGGGAGGAACATCAAGAAATCACGTGTAGATTGAGCCATTTTGTCTGTCACTACCGCGAGATACCTGATGATGACGTCACTTCCGATCCTGGGAAATGTGATGTCATAGTGTAATAGCATGTACACGTTGGCGCTCATATAATGTAAACAAACCTAACACAACATTTCTTTCCCTTGAAAGGAAAATCTAACACCTTTCTGTACATATCAAAAGATTAATGAAAAAAGACTTTTAACACTAATCCAGTAAGATCAAAGCAAGCCCCTGGTTTATGTTTAATAATGCAAGCAAATCTAACAACAATTTTGTTGTTTTGTTTTAATTTAGTGGGAATTACTACACTCATTCCCCACATCACACAGCCCATGTACACCATGAAGATTTGTGCCATTTGCAATAAGTGAGAATTAATTTGACAATAAACAAACCTAACATGACAGTGGGAAGTGACCAATTACCGTTATTTTGGGCCACATATTAAAACTTTAGACCCTGACCATGTTCATCAGAAATATAGGGGCATTTCAATTTATCAAGGGTAAAAAACTAAGGCCCCTATCAATCTCAACCCTTAAGTATAACAGAACTCCAGATAAGCTAAAATAAATCACCTTGAGCAAGTTAAATTTGAACTGCTTGTGTAAAAATATGCATGAAAAAAATTGAAAACCAAATAATATGACAACACAGTACATAAGTACCCAATGTAGCATTTTCAGCTTGCGAACGTGAATATCTGAATAGCGTTACTCATGTTTATTTACTGCATTTGAGTGAATGCAGGCATCATGTTACTCAAAACAGCTTTTTACACACAATCATTTGTAAGAAATTCTGATAATGTTCTGATATCGAATGTATGCAGTTCTGATGGGTTATCGGCAGCCATGTTTCTATGGATCGATATGTAGCCTATCAATGTTTTCAGATGAACATTTTTGTGTGTGAAAAGGCATGATTTAGAGGTATCAAGCATTCATTTTCAAGCATTCTTTAATGTAATAGTAGAATCTTTGAGAACCACTTGAAAAATGTCATTCAGATTCTACAGCCCATGCTGGTTTTAATACTGATGTCAAATGCGTTTGAGATTGAAAACACCTTGTATTTGCATTGGCTTTTTTTCGGTTGATTTCATCTGTGTATTTTATGGTAATTTGTTTTTGCAGACCTCCCCTACCCAAAGATAAGCCTAGTCCAGCTGGGAACAAGCCACGCCCTCCATTGCCCAAAAAGCCACCAGTGGCAAAGAAGCCAGCAAGGTTGTTGTCCTCGACGAGTGTGGAGGACGGAGCTGAGACAGGTACTTGTTGCTGACCCGCTGATCACTTAATCTGGAGAGTTAGAGAGTCAGCAGATCTTTTAGAAATAACCCTTTGGGGATTCTGGGTTAGAATTGGTCCCCACCTAGCTGTGCTGGTTGTACCAGTTGATCAAATGTGATTTGGTTGATTGTGTTGCATCCTACTCCGAAAGGCGTGGATCAATGCTCATGATGTCAATCACTGGACTGTCTGGTCAGTTTTTTACAGAATGCCATTATATAGCTGTAATATTGCTGATTGTGGCATTAAACAACAAACAAATTTGGGAAAATTACTTGCCTATCTTGAAAGGAGTTAAATAACTGCCTACGAAGATACTAAACCATAGAAAATGCAATATTTGTCAGTCTTTCAGGTAAAGCGTAAAATTAAGTCAAAATGCAAATTTAAATGACAGTCTTACGGATGTCATCATACAAGCCAGGCATGTTGTTTCCATGTTGTTTGTTCTGAATTGCATGTTGTGTTAACAGACTGTCTGGATCAGTTCTAATTGTTGATCACTAACTGCTGTTGTGAACATGTAACAGTTTTGTTTACAATGCATGTGAATGTGTTGTTGAAGATATGTATATTCTAGAGGACTTTGTTCACTGCATCAAAGTTATGTCATTCTGTGTCTCATCCTCAGTTATCCAGGGCATTATATCTCCATTCTATTCTGATAAATACCCTGGACCCATTCACCACCATAGATTTGTATTAAGAGCTCTGTCACCTCCATCTCCCACATGGCTAACCTACGACAAAACTTGAACGCAGCAGGTAATTAAAATGAGTCTTCTAATCCTGAGTTTGAGATGGATCCACAAAAAATCGCAAGCGAGGTATATTTAATCATGTTAATCAAATCAGAAGACTGTTGAGACTGAACTTATAGCTAGAAAGATGTTTCCTAAAGATGAGTTCTAAGAAGCATTTTACCCAATGTAGAAATGTGCGCCAAACACACACACACACACACACACACACACTAAAACACACACACACACACACACTAAAACACACACACACACACTAAAACACACACACACACACACACACACACACACAATAAAACACACTAAAACACACACACACACTAAAACACACACACACTAAAACACACACACACACACTGAAACACACACACACTAAAACAAACACACACACACACACACACACACACTGAAACACACACACACACACACACACACACACACACACACACACACACACACACACGTGTATGGAAAGGACACATAGAAAAAAAATATTGCGTCTCAAGGGACACACACTAATATGCATTGTACCAAATTCTTTTCAAAAGAGATAAAGGTCCTGTAATTAAAATGATTATCAAATTCTACAGTACAGTACCCTTTCATTACTTTATGGCATCCTCATATTGGCTGCAAGGATCCTTCAAATTAATTGTTGGGGGTCTCCTGGATCACCAGTTTTGTAGGTCAAGGTGAAAACTTGACTCAAACAGGGGAAGGGACATCTTTATACTGCAGTTCCCTGGGCCCCAATCCACAACGTGTTCGTAGTGTTGTGACCCACCAGAGATCCAGATAACTTTTCGAGCAATTGAGTTTTTACTCTTGGGTTTCTATTTTAATGGGGTTATTTCATTTTTCATTGGGACAAATATAGAAAAGTAGTAGTAGAAAAACATTTTAAGATTTAAAAAAAATGAAATAATGTTTTAGATGTATATAACTGTTCTAAATATATAGGCTTGACTTGGAAAGTAAATTAGCTCATAATTGTGTTTCGGAAATTAGCTCCTTTGTACACATGCTGAAAAAGCTTCATTGGGTATTTATGCGAGGTGTTTTTATACATTTGAGTTTTTCATTTAATGCATGCGTTTCTGTACACAAGTTAATGGAAAGTAATTGGGTTTTAAATATTTTTTGGTGGTATTTTATGCAAACATGCTACTTTTCTTTAGCTCTGCCCATCATAGCTATATTGTTTATCATTGGCTTACAAATGACGTAGTGCTACGAAGGTTCTGTGGATCAGGCCCTGGTGTATTTGAGCAGCTCACAACAAGGTGGGCTGAGGAGTGCTGCTTGTTTTAATTATGAAAGAAAAGTAATTTGATTGCTTGATGGCAACTGTTGACTCGAATAGAGGCAAAAGTGTCCTGGGTATTTATCATAACAGAATGGAGATATGATACACATTGTGTATGCTGTCTGCATCTATTCAGGCTGATGTTCATGAGTGTTACGTAGAGGGGAATGTCCGAGTAACTCTCCATTCCTTAAAAATAATGGAACAGAGGCCCATTAATTTTAAGGAATGGAGAGTTACAAGGATATTCCCCTACTTAAAACTCATCCCTACTTTTACACTTTGACAAAATATTCTGTAGTTGAAAATATTTGAAAAATTTAAATATAAATATCAAGATAATGTACAGTTGACAAGCAACTCTCCATTCCTGAAAAATAATGGAGCGTTCAAACAATAGAATGACGTCACAGATGTGTTTTAAAATCAAATAGGGCAACAATAGGTAAAACACAAAACTGACAAGAGTTTCAAAGGTCAGCTGTCAATAGTAACAGTCATCTTCACTTCCTGCGACTTCCCCTGAGAGCATGGGTCTGGCAGCCTAGTGCTGTAAGGTGCCACGACTAACTGTGCCGTGATCTGTGGACGTTCATATCCTGAATTTGACACAATTATTACCTTCAGTTGTCATCACCATACCCATGTATTGGATTTCCCGAAAGTGTTATAGGTGCATTAGGATCACCTAATTGCTGGGTGAGTGAGTGAGTTGGGTTTTACACTGCTTTTGGCAATATTCAAGCAATATCACAGCAGGGGACACATTGTACCCATGTGGGGAATCAAACCCAGGCTTAAACATGATGAGCAAACACTTTAACCACCAGGCTACCCCATTGCCCTTGGCTAATTTGTAGTCTTAGCAAATGTTCCTGGAATAATATTAAAAGTTTCATTGTCAGCTAGTTTAAATGTTTTGATGAATACCAATGTACATGATGTAGTGTTTATGATAATAAAAGCAACAAGACTATTTCAATAGGCTACATAAGAAATCTCTGCTAAACCCAGGGTCCATTCCCACTTAATCATTTTTGAATCACTATCAAATAGTATGATACCAGGTGTTCACTAAAAGGTGGCACCTATCACAAACACGTGCAAAGGCAAGTCAATTGTTCACATGAAAAAGTGCGGGAACATATGGTGCAAGGCAAGATAGGAAAGTTTTGTCAGATCAAATTTTGAAATATCCTCCACATGTCTACCATTAAATATTTTGAAAGCTTTTCTAAGGCCTTGAATGTTGTCATCTTGATCAAACAACTTTTGAGCAAGAGCCTTATGTGGCTCTTTGAAATCTGAATAATTACAGGACCATAATCACTTCATCACTCCGTTGTAACAATTCACCAGTAAACATTCCAACCCAAGCTACTTGCAACACTTTATTCATACATTACTGTGAGTAAAAAGTTTCCAAAAGTGACCATTGACACTGTAGTGACACTCATGAGCATGGCATGTTACTTCCATGATCCTGACAGCAGGTCCTGTCATGGTTAAGGGAGGCAACTTTGCACATTGAATTGCAGCACCTTACACCATGGGCCACACAAGCCCATCTTATGGACTGAAATGAACATTCTGTAAATACCCCAAAATCTATAGCCTGCCACTTTTTAAGAAAGAAAAGAGCACCCTTTGTCTGAAAGTCCTCTAGAGAAGAATCTTTTATGTTGTGATTGAACTGATTACAAAGTTGATGTGCACTGCTTGCGTTTCTAGGTTTGTCGTGTTCCCCTGACCCCCCAGCACTCATGACCCCCCAGCATGTAGCCTGCACACCTGATGATTTGTCCAACACACGTCAAACCGCCCTCACCTCCAAGGACAACAAATTGCATAAGTCGAAAACTAAATCAACAAAGCGTTCAGTCGCTGAACTTGGTCTGTACGCAGCGGGGAAGAGCTTGTTTTATGTCGATCAGTCTCCGACTGATGAGAACGCACCTCCCTCCAACACTGTGCCTGCCCTGCTTGCTCAGACCCCCAGCACAAGCACAATAACATCTTCCAACGATGACAAGTCTGCGTATGTTTCTGTTATGCCAACCAAAAGCTCAAAAAACCCTCCAAAAATCACTAAGCGTCGGAGCTTGAGGTCCTCTAACGGTAGCCCTAGCCAAGTGAACTCGTCTCCTGTGTTGAATGATGTGTGTGATGGTAGAAGTAGATGGTATGTTCCTCCTTCAAAAGCTGCTGTGGCTGAAGATGCAGCTGTGTCTGAGGATGCAGCTGTACAGTCAGCACCAAACTGTGTTACAGGAAATGCAACAAAAACAGATGGACAATCTGTAGAGACAGATGAAAAATCTGCAGAAGTGTTGCGTCAGGGATCAAGAACAAGTCCAAAACCGGTATCCAATGGCCAAAAGAAAATGGGTCCAAGAACCAGTCCCAGGCCAAGTCCCAAACCCAGCCCAAAACCTGTGCCAAGACCAGCACCAAAACCTAGGAAACGCTTGCTTTCAATGGATCATATAGAAAACCCTGACTTGGTTTCACCAGGCAAAGAATCGTCAGAAGGGCCAGACATGAAATCATCAAAAGAACATACTCCAACAGAGCTAACATCTCCAGCATCAGATAAGTTAGCAGAATGTAATCTCAGCTCATCAACTGACAAAGGCTCATTACCTGATGATGGCATGAATCGTAAAGGTCCACACACACCTACCCATAACACAGGACTCAACCGTAGTGTTTCCTGTGATAAGAGTGCGGAAGAAGGAAGTGTTTGTGCGAGGACTAGCTCAGAAAGTGCATCAAAGCCAACTGAGTTGGAACTGGAAAAAAGTATTACTGCTAAAGAAGGGTCAGTGGTTTCATGTGACAGGAGAGCTACCAATTCTGTGAAGGTTTCCAAAAGTGATGAGGATGATCCTTCAAATGAGAACACATGCGATATGTTGAAAGAAATTGAGGCACTTTTAAGCCAAAACTTCGGAGAGAGTGGTGTTTTGGCCGAAAAACCAAAAGTCTTGAATGTCAGCAGTGAACAAAACCTCGACACCAAACTGAGGAAATCTACCGATTCTTTAGAAAGACAAGGTTCAGTTGACTCGGTCAACTCAGACACAAGCCCTTCAACCCCTACCCGCCCTCCAAGACCACGCCGAGTGGCTTCACAGCTCCTCAAACAATTGAGTTTTGACAAACCTGTTCTTCTGAAGGACCCTGATTCAAGTGGAGCAGCGTCATTCAAAAAGCCATGTCCACCCAAACCAAAGAGGACTAATCTGTCACGATTTGGCCGTAGCCAGTCTGATGTCAGCGGGATGATAGGTCTCATAGAAAAGTTAGAATCCCCAGAAACTGAACCTGCAAGGCCGAATGTTCCAATGAGGAACCAGTCGTTTAGTCCAGGTGATGCACCTCCACCATTGCCACCCAGAAACAGTGTTAGATGTGTTTCCATGGAGGAATCAGAACTAGTCCAAGAAGTGCTTGGGGAAGTGAAACAGGAGAAGACTGTGCCACCTGTGCCAGCAAGGACATCGATTCCACCAGGGTCGCAAGCCCCTTTTGCTAAACCACCACGTGTCCGATCCCGCCCCCGGCCCAAGCGAGAAGCACCTCCCCCTCCACCTGCTCACCCTCCCGCAATTAAAACCAAGTCCTTGGATCGGACTGGTTCATTAGACAAGTCGTCCTCACAAAACAAGCTAGCTTCTTCTGACCGAGGCTCTAAGCAGTATAGAAAGATTGAAATTTCCGACTCAAAGAAGTCATTTGATGTAAAAGAATTTGTTGAAACTTCCTCTGACAAAGATGATTCTTTTGATCATGATTATCATGAAATTGGCGAACATCCTCCTTCAGAGAGAACTTCTCCTGTGAAGGAGGTGACCCCTCCTCCGTCGCTCCCCCCAAGGAGCTACCGACACTCAACAGCATCAGTCAAGCCTGAGGAAGATGAGGACACTGCAGAAGGGGAGAGTAAGCAAGACAGCTCAAGTGTTAAACAAGATGCAGCTGTTCCTGATGGAGCAGATGTGCCCAAAAAGGACACCACTGACAATCTCAGCTGCTCCAGTGAAGGCAATCAAAGTCTTCTCTCCAGCAGCAGAGAGGAGAATTCGGATCACCTTGAGGTCTCGACCCCGAAATGGCAGAGGTCGCGGCCTGTCAGTGATACCAGCCAGTTGAGCACCAATTCCAGTGGGTCGGGCGACAACTTCTCTAATGTGGTGGGCCATGATATTAGCTCCGACTCTGATGAGGACCAAGAGGATGCTACCTATCAGGTAAACACTCGTTATTTGTACAATTAATTGTCAAGATTGTCATATTACGTCATTTTTGTTGATAAACCATTCAAGGATTATCTAGATTTACTGTTTAATTTGCAATCTTTATTTTGTACTGGTCATGTTTATGTTGGCAGTGTGATGTTGGACATTTGAATCTCAAGTGAATAAGAAGGGTCCTTCCATCAGCATCTTCCGTGTGAATATTTCATGTATATTGTGTTATGCGTAATGGGTATAGTCCTCCTCAGCCTGTCCAAGAAGTGTTTGAGTCTACTTGCCCCAACGGGGCGGTCGGGTAGCCTAGTGGTTAAAGCGTTCGCTCGTCACGCCGAAGACCCGGGTTCGATTCCCGACATGGGTACAATGTGTGAAGCCCATTTGTGGTGTCCCCCGCCGTGATATTGCTGGAATATTGCTAAAAGCGGCGTAAAACCATACTCACTCACCCACTACTTGCCCCAACATGCCCTTAGCATCATTTTCAGTAGATCTTCGTGTTACATATAGACTGTTTTTACATGAACTTACTTTACTGAACAAAAGTTTACCAGACTTGGACGTTGGACAAGTGGTTTCAGTGTTCCTGCTGGCGTTTGAAACTGCCAGTCCACCAGGACTGCAACCCTAAAAATTACCAGTCCCACCTAAGTTTTGTCAGTCCCAACTTTTCAACAGATAAATAAATGAATGAAAATATTGCCTGGTTTTAATTCTTTCAACATCATGTTCAATGCAATGACTCATCTCGGAAGTAACTTAGTCACAATTTCGTCTTTTGATTCGAGACTAAATCACCTTAAGTATATGTTTAACCTCAAAGCAAAGCAAAATGTTATTTCCTTGCACTAAAAATAGACAGAGGAAAAATATAGTTATATGAATATCACTGATTTAATATTTATAAGGTACTTTAATTGCCAAGTCCACAGGGACTGGTAGTTACATGAATTGCCGGTCCATGCTTAATTTTAGCAGTAAAAAACTGGTAATTACCGGTAAACAGGAACACTGGGTTCATCGGGTTTGGGACGAGTCCAAGTTTACTACCTGGGTACCTGACCCCCTATTACCTGACCCGGATAACCGCTGGAGGGTCTCAAGTGTTGAGAACAAAATGGCCGATTAGGAATTATTTTACCAGAGCTCTGGCAACAAGTATTTAGCTACACGTATAAAACGCTCTGGTCAGGCATATACTGAAGTTGACTGAAGCTGTATCTTTACTCAAAACATATACAGATCAGAAGGAATGTCCATATTGTCAGAACGATATGCGAATATTAGCGACTTGTAACCATGGAGTTATAGTAGTGAATCTTTCTCATTAAACGATATATATCTCGTGACTAACCAGAGGTGCGGGTAGCCATGTGGGTACCCAGGTCCTACTCAGTGCCCATCTGACCCCAGTACCCGAGTTACCCGCCCAGCCCTAGTGGCTTATGTCTTAGACTGCCTCCTTAATCTAAGCCCCATTGGGGTTAGGGGGCAGTACCCAGTACCCAATGGTTTGTTAGAGCTCAATAATGAGAATTGGTTGGTTACAATCAGCGACTAGCTAATATATTTACAAGCTGCCATGATAAATCATGCATTATCAAATGTGTTTTTGTGTTTATTATGGAAAAGATATAAACCATGTAAACAGTTGAGTGTCCGTAGTTGCTATTGTTGGGTATATTTTGATTTGATTTCAAACAGAAATTAAAAAGGGCTCGCAAGGTTTTCTACATCGCAGAGGAAATAAAGAAATCTGAAGAGGTGTTTGTGGATGTGTTGAAGCTCCTTAACATAGTGAGTACAAGCAGACTGCTGGTGACTTGTTGAAATTCACATGTAACCATGGTAACACTTAAACTTTTTTACCTATGTTAAAATATGATCATCAGCCGCTCATGGTTCTCTGTCACTTGGTAGCACAAGCAGAAAATCACCAAATTTGCTACACAGATTGCATCAAACGTCATTAACCATATACACCCATGAAGATCCGGGTACGAATAAACCTTCAGCAACCCATGCTTGTCATAAGAGGCGATGAGGCTTGTCGTAAGAGGAGATCAGGTCAGACTCGTTGACCTGGTTGATGCATGTCATCGTATCCCATTTGCGTGGATTGATGCTCATGATGTCAATCACTGGTTTGTCGGGTCCAGATTGAATAATTACAGACAGCTGTCATATAGCTGGAATATTGCTGATGTGGCGTTACAAACGACAAACCAACAAACAAAAAATTCCCAACGAGGGCTGAACATTCATCCTTTGTCCAGGACTTCCGAAACCATGTGACCAAGGCGGCGGAGAAATTAGATCATGCAGTGATTCCGAGTGAAATGCTGAATAAGATACTGGACTATCTGCCCCAGCTGCACAACTTCAATGAAGACCTACTTAAAGACCTGACCGAGAGGATAGAGAATTGGTAACTGAATGAATGACAGAAGGAAGGAAGGAACTGAGTATTGTGCCATTGTTATTGTGTGGGTCATGTGAATTGGTTTGGATTACGGTGGTAGTTTTCCTGCACCTCATTTTTCCTTGAACTTTTGTCATATTTATCATAATGTGTGTGTTTAGTGAAGCTTTGATCTATTGATCATGACGCACTAGACAAGTCGAAATTGCGTTGAAAAAACTAACTGGCAATTATAAAACAATTGTAAAACAATTGTAAAACAATTGTGAAACTATCAACTGCTTAGGGAAATAAATAAGGAAATATATATTTTGCGACAGCATGATTATGATAGGTGTAGAAGTAATTAGAACTTAAACTAGCCTTGATAAAATAGAAACTTATGAAATGTCCTTTGGGAGGATATTAAGAGATAGTCAGTGATTGTTTTAGTTGTCAATTAGAAATAGCCTCAAAACCCAAACTATCCTAAGAACAAATGGAAAATGTCTCAACATGAACATTTACCTATTCATTTGATGTGTTGGTACAGTTTATGTTCATAATATTCATTGTACTTTGTCACAGTATTTTATACAAAGCTTCTTCAATCATCATAGGACACACTATTGTCAAGGATGCTTCAAGGGTGGGAACTATGCGTTTGGAACTGTTAATACTGTCATAATTACACAGTTTCAGCGACCGCTTCCATGGTCTAGTTGTAGATCGTCCGCCCAGAGAGTGGGAGGCCCGGGGTTCGATCCCTGGGTGCGTCATACCAAAAGATGTTAACAGGTGGTACTTGTTGTTACCCTGTCTTGCGCTCGGCATTAAGGGGCTAAAACAAGGACGGGTTGGTTTGGAGTCAGTATACTGTGACTGAGTTGGGTATTCATGTTAATCTGCGGTGTGGTATCTCAATATGCTAGCACTATAATTAGGCATCGGTCCGAACTAGTAGAAGCATACACACTTACATGCACGTAACTATATAAGTGCAATAATATTGGACGCGACATTAAACCCCATTTCACCCCCCCTCACACTCTGTCGCCCAAGTGCCCTTTGATGACAAATACGTCAATACAAGTTACACGAATTAAGATACTTTAAGGTGCTTCTACTCTTGTGTCATTTCTTGACATACATCACATTTTCTGTTCATTGAAGTTGATATGTGATCCCCACTAAGATGGAGGGATGGATAGGCTAAAGTGTTTAGACAAACTAAATGTTATGTCATGATCTGATTGTCACTGTGTAGGTAGACCTGGCTCCCATTCCACAGAGCATTCTTAGCTCTACGACTATGGTAAGCCTATGTTTAAGTATGGGAGTTATGATCACCTTAGCGCTAAGATTGCTTTGTGGAACGGGGCCCTGGGATGATGAGCCCCTAACTAACTGGTACCATACCAAAATGCAACACTGAGCATTTCAAATTTTTTTATTTTGAATACATATTGTTAAAGCAACAACTGACATAATATGATGGCAGAATACTTTATTCCTGGTACAATATCAGCTTCTGATAAAATTTCAGCAAATCATTGTGCTCAGAATCACTTGAGTTGTTACACTGGGTATTGTAAACTGAATCACCACAGAAATTTGCTGGAATACTGCAAAGGTGCCATAAAACCCAACTCACTTTCACTGAAGCAAAACATTTTATTTCTAGACTAAAAAACAAATTAGTCTTGGTTCTCAGGCAGCGCCCGCATCATCATAAATTTGCTGTACGTTTTATTTTTATTTTCATTTTTTAAAAAACACACCAAAAAATCCATTTAATATTCCAATGGTTATTCCAAAATATTCCTTAAAGTCCAACGGCACTCAAATACTGTATTCTAGTATTTAACTCATCAAGGAATACATTTATGTAGGGAGGCCCTTTCCCAGGTTGACCGTACACAACTGTTTGTTTGTTTACACAACTGTTTGTTTGGTTACATACTAGTTTGAATAAAAAAAACACACACAAAAAACACCGCCCACCCGCACCATATTTTTCAAAGCCATTGCCCGAGAAACCTGTACCAAGATTATTGGATCAATGGTATGCTCAAGTATTTGTTATGTACACACGGAAATTTACATCGTTCTTGCTGTATTTACATACATTAGTTAACAATCTGTTTGCACACATGTTATTTGTCACCAGGAAGGAAAACCCGAAAGTAGCGGACATCTTTGTGAAGAAAGGTCCATTTCTCAAGATGTACTCATCATACATTCGCAACTTCGAAAATGCCACCGCCATGTTCGAGGAGTCATGTAAACGATATCCTGAATTTCAGCGTATTGTCAAGGAATTTGAGGTAGGAACTGTACATTGTCTTTAAGAGATGACTCAAGGGAGATAACTCTTATATATTGCATTTTAGCTTGAGTGGGTGAGTTAAAATTTAACGTTGCATCGGCATTATTTCAGCCATTTAGCGATTTTAGCTTGAAGGTGTCCTTTGGTTCAAACAGTAGTACCATACAAATCATGCTTTTATCAGAAGTTGAAATACACTGTCATTCTGTGTGCAAACAAGTAATGTTTAGTGTTTATCAGATGATATTGCTAGTGGAATTGTTTAATCTGATCTCTTTTTATTATGTCTCTTTGTTGGTTGGTTGGTTGGTTGGTTGGTTGGTTGGTTGTTTTATGCCGCACTCAGCAATATTCCAGCTATATGACGGCGGTCTGTAAATAATCGAGTCTGGACCAGACAATCCCGTGATTGATATCATGAGCATCGATCTGCGCAATTGGGATACGATGACATGCATCAACTAAGTCAGCGAGTCTGACCACCCGGTCCCGTTAGTCGCCTTTTATGGCAAGCATGGGTTGCTGAAGAGATATTCTTCCCCGAATCTTCATGGGTCATGTCTCTTTGTAAAAACCCTTGTGGTGATGTGAGAGAATATTGAGTTCTCAGAAGAGCTGACACAAACTGACATTGAACAAATTGATGTTCAGTTGTGCATTATGTGGATCTTGGACAGCTGGTTCCTTCCTCATGTTGGCACCAGGGTCCACTGGTCATGGGTTTATACCTTGAAGATCCGGGGGAGAATAGGTCCTTCAGCAACCCATGCTTGTCGTAAAAGGTGACTCTACTTATCATAAGAGGCGACTTGGTTGATTCACATCATTGCATCCCAATTTCATGGATCGATGCTCATGATGTCAATCACTGGATTATCTGGTCCAGACTCGATTATTTACAGACCGCCGTCATACAGCTGGAATATTGCTGAGTGCGGCGTTAAACAACAAACAAACAAACAAACATGGGTTTGAATCCCAGGTTTGCCCTGATAATGAGCCATGGTTTGTCAGCACCATTCTTTCTTATACTCATGGGTTTCACCAAAGTGGTAAGCGTTTATCATCTGCGTCTACGACACTTAGGACACATTAAACTGACACAACTGACAGACTGTTTAACGTGGCATTACATTCAAATCACTCACCCCTTCATGTTGGCAGGTGTCTCCCCGCTGTGCCTGTCTGGCTCTCAAACACTACATGCTCAAACCCATCCAGAGGATTCCCCAGTATAAACTTCTTCTACAAGGTATGTTCTAGGTATCTCTGTGCTTTCCCAAAGTGATTTTGATACTGACTTGTCACTACACAGCTGTTCCACGGTGTGATCCTGATACAATTTCTTCCGACGATTGCATCAAAATTCTTTCAAGTTGTATCATTGGGTACTTTTTAACTGAATCACTGGTAGATTGGGGGGAAACGTTTGCACAGCTGGTTGCTATTTCCGGCTTAGTTTAAGGGAGAATACACACGTTAATCTTAATCTCTGCATATAAAACAATGCCTTGGAGAGCAGGAAATACAATTTATATTGTAAATCATCATTTGTAGTGATGTTTTATAACAAATTTCATATTTTTATTGACCAAGTTTGTTATACCTCTTTATTCACCTGAATGCGGGGAAGGGTTACAATGTGTTTTTTTGAAAGCGCATATTAGTACTCGATAATTTTATTTCTTACACTATGAATCATAAACAATTTCTATTCTAATTTGTTTTTGTAAACTCTGAAACATGCAACGTAGCTTGTGTTAGGTGGGCAGAGCATGTATACTGTTTTGCTCGTCATCTACCACCTAAGACGCCACCTCTGTTAAACCTCTGATCGTCTATAACGCTCATCAATTATTTCGACCCTGAAAGTAGCGTTGTAGCGAGAGATCACTGTAGATTCCCGATCCAAATCTGCATCTCACTTTCCAAGTTTCAGCAAGGTACATGCGTCATGATCTGATGACAAATGAAACATGATTCAGTTCCCAAGAAACCCTCAAACATGAGTACTTATAATTTAGACAGTATATTTACTTATCGAGTTAGAAAGCGGATTGCGTGCTGCTCGTAATATTCACTGGATTGTCTGATCAAGATTTGATTGTTTACAGGCAGCTGTCATATAGCAGGAATATTGCTGAGTGTTTCATCATGTTTATGAAACAACAAACATATTCAAGGCCAGTTGGAGTATTACATGCATATTTGAAGTTATGACACTTAACTTCTTAATCATGATCACATAAAGCATCAGGGGCGGTCAGGTAGCCTAGTTGCTAAAGCTTTACGAAACCCATTTCTGGTGTTCCCTGCTGTGATATTGCTGGAATATTTGTAAAAGCGGCGTAAAACAATACTCACTCACTCACTCATGTAGCATCTTGTTGATATTTTTCAGACTATTTGAAAAACCTACCCTCAGATTCTCCAGACTACAAGCCTACAGAAGGTAGGCTGGAACATAGTAGGAAGATGTTCTTCACCATTACAGACGGTGTATACAAATACCATAGCCCTTGTGGGGATTCCGGGATAGAATTGGTCCCCAGCAACCTATACTTGTTGTACAAGGCAACCAAATGCTTCAGGTGGTCAGATTCGGTGACTTACATGTCATTGTACCCTGTCTGGTCCAGACTCAATTATTCACAGTCTGCCATCATAGAGCTGGAGTATTGCTGAGTGTGACATTATACAGCAAACAAACAAATAAGAATACCATAGACTATGAAGATGTTATAATATAACAAACACTGTTTCTTTAATGCATTGCTGCCAAGAGGTAAATCTGTGACAAGCATTTTCTAAGATTGTGTGTGTTATTTAGTATTCAGTGTCCACACATTTCAGTTATAATCAACATTTGTTTGGTGGTACTCTTTCGTATGTTCTGTAGAAAACACGACTGCAAGGATTTAGTTAAGAATGTAAACATGATGGGGGAGGTTGTTATTGGTGGTAGCGTTCATTTCAAAGTAAATCTTGAAAAACGTACTAAGTCTATTGGTGGACTGGTGCCTTTTGATCGTTGGGATTTTCAACAAAAATATTTTTTGAGTTTCCATGGCAACAAATTTGACTTAGGCTGGAATGGCGGTAGTGTTCCGTTTCTTCACCAAACTTGGCACATAGATAGGTGTAGTAGTGAACTGGTGTCTGGTGTATCATGGATTGGGTCTCATACTATCAACCTATAGCTTTGGTTTATCTGGTCCTGAATGTCAGTCATACAAGCCATTAATAGTATTCTTACAGAAACATAATCTAGACAACCCTGTAATATGAACATACGACCACGCTGTATGCAAAGTATAGTTCATAAAATAAAACTCGAGATTCAGAAATAGAATAAAGTGTTGTCAAGCTCAGTGAAAAGGAAGGGGACAAAAGGAAGGGGACAAAAATGATTATTATCTAGCTCATCTTGAAATGACATTCACCGAGTATGAAGCTGGATCTAAAGTATTCTTGTTGGCAGACTTACATACCAAAGGGCTGACGTAATATCTTTGTGAGTGGACACTAACTTACTGTAAACATAGTGTGTTTCTGTCCCTGTCATCAGTGTTAGAAATTGGCACTAGTCCTGTAGTCCTTGCCAAACTGCCCAATGGTAAAGGTATCATAAGGGTTAGTAGAAAATTGCCATTTTTAAGGGTTTTGCTATATGTTATCATTATAAGGACTAGTGGACGAAAACTGTTAGTTTCTAACGCTGGTCATTTCTTTGCTCAGTGTAACATGTTTAAAGACTTTTTGATCTATTGTTAATGCATGAGTGTTTTATTTCCAGTTGCCCTGACTATTGTAAGTGAGGTGGCAGACCATGCTAACGAGAGCATGAGGCATGGGGTAGGTGTCGTGTTCAAGTTCTCACACATCTCACACATGTACTTGGCATGGCTCACGCAGTTACAGTGATCATGTCGAACACATAAAGTATGATGAAATATGTCATAAGCATCATTGATGAACTTAAAAAAAGAAATTATGTATAAAATACATTCCTGCGGTGGTCATCTTTGGCCATGTAGTTTGTTAAAAAAATCACTTTTTGTTTATCTCAGAATATCTTTATTCTTTGACAAAGTAGAATATTTCCTTGTTTGTCATCATTTGTATGTTTAGTCATTGTATGTTTTGTTTAAAAATTATTCAATTTTAATAATGTTAATTTTAGGTCAGAATATCTCAATAGATATGTTTTCAGGATTCTCTGACAGTGTCTCTCTCTAGATAGTCTTGACAATCAGTATGTATCAATTGGTCATTATCCAAACTCTTGATAATCTTTCAGGACACCGTGCAGAAGCTGCTGGAGATACAACACTCTCTGATTGGTCAGTTTGAGGTGATCCAGCCAGGCAGAGTGAGTTGAGAAACAGTACATTATTACCCCGTTGAGAAACAGTACATTATTACCCCGTTGAGAAACAGTACATTATTACCCTGTTGAGAAACAGTACATTATTACCCCGTTGAGAAACAGTACATTATTACCCCGTTGAGAAACAGTACATTATTACCCTGTTGAGAAACAGTACATTATTACCCTGTTGAGAAACAGTACATTATTACCCCGTTGAGAAACAGTACATTATTACCCTGTTGAGAAACAGTACATTATTACCCTGTTGAGAAACAGTACATTATTACCCCGTTGAGAAACAGTACATTATTACCCCGTTGAGAAACGGTATATTGTTACCCTGTTGAGAAACAGTACATTATTACCCCGTTGAGAAACAGTACATTATTACCCTGTTGAGAAATGGTATATTGTTACCCTGTTGAGAAACAGTACATTATTACCCTGTTGAGAAACAGTACATTATTACCTCGTTGAGAAACGGTACATTGTTACCCTGTTGAGAAACAGTACATTATTACCCTGTTGAGAAACGGTATATTGTTACCCTGTTGAGAAACAGTACATTATTACCCTGTTGAGAAACAGTACATTATTACCCTGTTGAGAAACAGTACATTATTACCCTGTTGAGAAATGGTATATTGTTACCCTATAGAGAAACGGTATATTGTTACCCTGTTGAGAAATGGTACATCATTACCCTGTTAAGAAACGGTATATTGTTACCCTGTTGAGAAATGGTATATTATTACCCTATAGAGAAACAGTATATTATTACCCTGTTGAGAAACGGTACATCATTACCCTACAGAGAAGAGGTATATTATTACATGTTGAGAAAGGGTATATTATTACCCTGTTGAGAAACAGTATATGATTACCCTGTTCAGAAACGGTATATTTATCCTGTTGAGAAACGGTATATTATTACCCTGTTGAGAAACGGTACATCATTACCCTACAGAGAAGAGGTATATTATTACATGTTGAGAAATGGTATATTACCCTGTTGAGAAACAATATATTATTACCCTGTTGAGAAACAGTATAATGTTCCAACCTCATCACAACAGGTAGTTTATGAAAGTCCTGAATTTTAAATTGCCAAATCTTTTCCTGCAAAGACTTAAGCTTTCTGATTACTTCCTTTGGCATAGAAATTAGATGTTTTGTGTCAGATTACAGACATCTCAAAATGAGGGGATAGCCTGAAAAGTCAAGTGAGCTTATGTCATGGCCTTTGACTCTGTTTTAACCATTCCCTTAAAATATCTCAAAAGGCATATTTAGCTCTGTAGCCGTCTTATTTGGAATTGCCAGCATGCGGGCTGGACTTTGGCATGTGTGTTTCTCCTTATGATGACATATTTTGTTCAGTTCATTGGATTTTAGGGTTAGTATTTAGTCCTCAGTAGGGGACACGGGTGGTCGTGTAAGGCGCTGTGTAGAGTTGCGTCCCTTGGGCAAGCCAGAAACCTATGATTGTGGGTTCAAATCACCCCGATTATGTTTCTAGATTTGTCAGCACCATACACGTGCTCGTGGGTTTCACCAAAGTGTTAAACGTCTGAGAACTGCATCACTTTGGGCTTTCCTCCCACATTAAGCTGACACGCTGTGATATAACTGGAATACTGTTAAAAGCGGCGTTAAACCCAACTCACTCACTCACTCGTCCTCTGTACCTATGCCAGAAATACCTATTATCAATGTTGACAGAAATCATTTATTTAGTGTCATTCTTTAGTTGACATTTTTAACCGTTGATTACATACCCAGGTGAGCTACAGTGCCATGTCACTACTTTTTACAGACTGCATTGAAAGAGCTGGATTATGGCTGACTGATGTAAAACAAGAAACAAACAAACAATCATTGTTAAATTATGTAGAGAAATGGGTCTTTACCAGTGCATATGATGCTAACCGGTGAAGATAGGTCTTCAGCAACCATTGCTTGTCGTAAGAGGCAACTATGCTTGTCGTAAGAGGCGACTAACAGGATTGTGTGGTCAGGCTCGCTGACATGGTTGATGCTTGTCATCGTATCCCAATAGCGTAGATCGGTCCTCATGATATCAATCATTGGATTGTCTGGTCCAGACTCGATTATCTACCTACTGCTGTCATATAGCTGGAATATTGCTGTGTGTGGCCTTAAACAACAAACAAACAAACAAAACATGTGATGCTAGCCAGATACTATTCTAAACTGTGATTTCTCGTGAAGAATGAGTGTTGTTGTGATGATGTTTCAGAATCTCATCAAGCATGGGGAGCTGCAGAAGTCGTCCAGGAAGGAGTTGCAGCCTCGCATGTTTTACCTGGTTTGTTTAAACATGTTGCTATCAAGACAAAACTACCTAACAATATTGTTAAGTTATATTGGTTGAACTACTGAGTTATCTCCCTTTCTTAAAGTTTCCATTCCAGGAGAGAGGACTTCCATGTCAGTAGTAACCTTACATTTCTTCCATTCATGTATTAGACCACCTCCGTGGTCTTGTGGTATAGTGTCCGCCCGGAGAGCAGAAGGTCCGGGGTTTGATCCCGGCCACATCATACCAAAAGACGTTAAAAGATGGTACTTGTTGTTACCCTGTCTGGCGCTCGGCATTAAGGGGCTAAAACAAGGAATGGTCGGCTCGGAGTCAGTATACTGTGTCTGAGTGGGGTATTCATGTTAAACTGCGGCATGGTATCTCAGTGTGCTAGCACTATAAATCGGCATCAGCCCGGACTAGTACAAGCAGCCACACACACACATGCAAACACGTCGCTATATAAGTGCAATAATCTTGGTCGGACATTAAACCCCATTTCACCTCACCTCACCATTCATGTATTCAGTTGCATTATGATGTAATGGAGTGATGTACAGGGAACGATGTGTTTGGTAACAGGTACTCTTTGAGACCTTGCTACAGCTCGAGAGAGCTCTGTGCATTTTAACTTTGATGTGGGTCTATATTGTCAGCTGGTTATGAGTAATAAAGATTAACTATTACTATAGACAGTTTGATTTAATCAGGATTAAGGGCCTATTCCTCTCTTGCTGGACCCGTGAAGATTCCGGGGTAGAATAGGTCTTCAGCAACCCATGCTTGCCGTAAAAGGCGACTAACGGGACCGGGTGGTCAGGCTCGTTGACTTGGTTGATGCATGTCATTGATCCCAATTGCGTGCATCGATGCTCATGATATTAATCACTGGATTGTCTGGTCCAGACTCGATTATTTACAGACCGCCGTCATATAGCTGGAATATTGCTGTGTGCGGCGTAAAACAACAAACAGCAAACCAACCAAAACCAAACTGTTGCTGTGATATGAGGATAAGTTGGAGCTATACCAGCAGTAGAAATAACTTCTGTTGTCATGAACCCTTTGAGGACTGGACTAGGGACATTTGCAGGTCAGATCAGATGAAGATGCATACCTATTTATCTGACCTTGGAAGATGCGGGGTGGAATAGGTCTTCAGTAACCCATGCTTGCCGTAAAAGGCGACTATGCTTGTCGTTAGAGGTCGCTAACAAGATTGGGTGGTCTGACTTGGTTGAAGCATGTCATTGATCCCAATTGCATGGATCGATGCTCATGATATCAATCACTTGATTGTCTGGTCCAGACTCAATTATGTACAGACCGTCATCATATAGCTGGAATATTGCTGAGTGCAGCGTTAAACAACAAACCAACCAACCAACCTATTTATCTTCCAGTTCAACGATGTGCTGCTGTATACCACGCCAGTCGCTGGTGGCTACAGACTCAACAACATTCTGCCTCTCACTGGCATGAAGGTGGGTTTGATCTGCAGGCAAACTGCTCTCAGTGATAGTTCTATCAAGGAGCTCTCTCTACTGTCGCTGCCACAAGCCACCGTTCCCCACTGTGCTGGGCAGCCTTCAACATTGTGAGGAGGGGAACTCCCCACCAACTGACAATTTTATTTACAAACAAGCTGCTTTTTCGTTTTGTTTGTTTGTCAACTGAAAATTATATTCCTTTTTAACATTTTGGTAAACAGTGTGATCAGAATATAAGGAGAAGTTTTGTGCTTTTCTGTTAGACTGCAATCTCTAAAAAATCTTCTTGAAATGTACAATCATAATTTTATAAATATATTTGCAGTTCACTAAAATGACATGGGGTTTTACCAAGACTTAACAAAGTGGGCCCCCAAGGGACCCCAAATAATATATTCAAGTGTCCATGCAGGCAGTATGAGAGAGTCCTGTAATGTAACGAAATGGTGTAGTCTACTGTATATTTTGAGATTACTTTAGAGCCTGGAATGAATCAAAGATCGTGTGGACAGTGGTCATGATTAATGGATGTATGACGCCCATAACTGCTCTTGTGCTGGAGGCAGTCGGTCAAACAAATATATTCAATGCAGCCTATGAAGTCTATAATAGTGGGCAAATCTAGGTTATGACAGTTTCTGAAAATGAAGAGGGTCTCTGGGCTCCATTTTATTATGTCTTATTAAGCTAATTCATCAACTGTTTTTTCTGAGACTAGACGTTAGTCTATGCTGTAGGTATAATGCATATTATCATGCGTCCCTTGAGACGCTGTATATTCCTTTTCTGTTTCTGTTCTCAACAGTTGTGCATACTGGATGCATATTTGTGTATCACTTAAAACCTTATGAAATATACATCCCATAACACAGTATGCATTTCCGTACATTGGTGCTTGGAAAGAAAAAAATAAGATTTCCTATAATGGCCATGTCTTGGCTGGTGGCGCCAGTGATACCAGGAGGGCAACAAAGGTGCCAAGCACTGTGATTGTGTGGCAGTGGTGTAAGGGAGTTAACTCTTTAACCAATGTTAATAGGGCACACATTGTCTCCTTAATGCCAAATTATCTGAGAGTAATTGCATGCTCAGATACTTATAAAAATGGAGATTCCATCCGCTTATCCAGTGTATTATATCTTCATACTTTTTTTTAATAAATATCATGGACATGATTGTGGGTTTGAATCCCGGTTCGCCACGATTATGTTTCTAGGTTTGTCAGCACCATACCCGTGCTCGTGGGATTCACCGATGCATTAAACATCTGAGACCTTCCTCATTTCTGGCATTCCTCCCACATTGAGTTGACATGCTGTCAGATAACTGGAATACTGTTAAAAGCAGCGTTAAGCCCAACTCACTCACTCACTCACTGAGAGCAAGATACTAGAAATACACAAATGTATGGAACTGTTGGAACTGTGTATGCCCTGGTGATGTACTTCAGCCCAGATCACAATATACACGGGGTATAGAAATTAGCATCAGTTTTGAAGGTCTCCACAGGGGAGTCACTTTAAAGTTGGGGTTGTGCTATAGATGACAATATACAGTACTTGTTTTCATCCTTACTCTGTTGTTATCTCAGTTTAATTGGGTAAATCTTTAACTAATTTTACGAGATAAATTATTATTTTGCTGATTTGACAGAGTTATTATGTATCCTTCTAACACAAGTGTGGTTGTTGTTCATGTAGGTCTGCACCCCCCAGCAAGAAGCGTTCAGTAATGAGTTCAGCATCATCAGTGTTCAGCGCTCCTTCACAGTGGCTGCAAGGTACTGTCATACTGCCATAGTTAAAATAAGTCTCTACCAACCTTTGCTTGTTCTGTGACACAAGGGGCGGTCGGGGAGCCTCGTGGTTAAAGCGTTTGCTCGTCACGCCAAAGATCCGGGTTCCATTCCACTCACTCACTCACTCACTCACTCACTCACTCACTCACTCACTCACTCACTCACTCACTCGCCCACTCACTCACCCACTCAGAAATTAATGGATCAGGTGATCAGACTCCGTGACTTGTTTCATTGTGTGTCAATGTACCCAAACAGAGGGATCATAATATGCATGATATCAATCACTGGATTGTCTGGTCCAGCCTTTAATGTTTACAGGCTGCCACCGTATGGCTAGAATATTGCTGACTGCAGCACTAAACAACAGACAAACAATTGATTAGAACTTGGTCACATTCATGTTTATAAAGGGTAGTTACACTATTCACACGCTGACTTTCTTACACTCAATTGTCCGACAGTGGGACATGAGTATATTTATTGTCAAATATGACTTTCCACTGAATAGAATTCTTCTATAACCAGAGTAATGATATGGTACATCCTGCAAATGATTCATGTTTAACGCTTGTTTAACTCATGTGGTCTGTCTTGGATTTTAGATTTGTTTGGTTTTGTTTACATATGTGTTTAGTAATGATAATAACCTACTCTGGGTTATCTCTCCGAAGTGAATTAATGTCAAAAGTGACAAACTTAAAAAATTATTTCACTCAAGACAGAATCCTCATAGCTAGTAGCTTTTTCTCTAATTATGACATTGACTTGTTACAACATTGACAACTAGCTTACCTGGGCTCACTTGCACAAAGCGATCATAGCGCAACCACTATTGTAGGTGTATGGTAAAGTAAGAGAGTTACAATCATTGTAGCGCGAAGATCACTTTGTGTAAGTGGATCCAGGTCTTGCCTACCTCAGATGTTTCATTTATATTTCCATATTTGTTTATGATCCCTACTTTTCCAGCACCCTGGAGGAGAGAGATGAGTGGCTGAAGGCCCTCACATCAGCCATCAGTGAGATAACCTCGAGGAGACACACTTTCGAAGCCATGCAGCATGGGCAACAGGTAGAGGGAGATAACTCTGTTAAACATTTGGATGTCTCTTGTTTTGTTTGTTGTTTGTTGTTTGTTGTTTAACGCCGCACTCAGCAGTATCCCAGCTATATGACGGCGGTCTGTAAATAATCGAGTCTGGACCAGACAGTCCAGTGATTGACATCATGAGCATCGATCCACGCAATTTGGATCGATGACATGCATCAACCAAGTCATTGAGTCTGACCACCCGATCCTGTTAGTCACCTTTTACGACAAGCATAGTCGCCTTTTACGGCAAGCATGGGTTGCTGAAGACCGATTCTACCCCGTATCTTCACGGGTCGATGTCACTTGTAATTTACAGAATGTAAGGAATAATGGTGTGTTGATATCTCAACCGGGACAGGTGTCATCTCTCCATCAACTGAACGGACCTGATTCAGCAAATCCTCAATTCACTCAGCCTCAGGATTCAGTGTTTTAATAGGTCCTCAGCAGCCTATGCTTGTCGTACGAAGCCACTAAATGGATTGGGTGGTCAGGCTCGGTGACTTGGTTGATGGTGTATCATGATGGTGTCAGTTATTGCTCATAGTATCAATCACTGATATATCTGGTCCAGGCACACCTGTTCACAGGCTGAGACAGAAGTGATGTGTTTGTTGTTCAGTGCCACACTTAGCAATATTCCAGCTATAAGATGGCGGCCTGTAAATAATCGAGTCTGGACCAGACTGTCCAGTGATTGATATTGTGAGCAACTATCCACTGCATGAGAGTACATTGACAGGCATTCAACCAAGTCAACGAGCCTGATTCATTTTGTCGCCTCTTACTACCAGAAGAGGTTGCTGAGGGCCTATTCTAACCCGGAACCTCACGGGTTGCCAAGTTATGTATTGTATTGAATGGATACACTACACAAGTGATGGACAAAATACATTTGGTTATCAAATAAAAGTACTCTTCTATTTTTTGTTCAAAACAGTTGTTTCGTTAAAACACACAAACAATTGCCTTTTTCCCATAGTCTGGCAATGGTGTTTCACATGATGCAAGACCCGTGAAGATCAGGGGTAGAATAGGTCTTCAACAACACCTGCTTGCCATAAGAAGCGACTATGTTTGCTGTAAAAGGCGACTATGCTTGTCCTAAAAGGCGACTAACAGGATCGGGTGGTCAGGCTCGCTGACTTGGTTGATGCATGTCATCGTATCCCAATTGCGTAGATCAGTGCTCAAGATGTCAATCACTGGATTGTCTGGTCCAGACTCGATTATTTTCAGACTGCCGTCATATAGCTGTAATGTTGCTGAGTGTGACGTTAGACAACAAACAAACACATGATGCAAACACAGTTGATGATCTCAGTTTACAGGGTCTCTCTGTTTCAAGTCAATAAAATTACATGATGGCACTTGGGATTTGAAGTATTCCATGACATTGACTTTATCCCTTCTCTCTCAGACTTTCTTGCTGGACAAGGACTTTGTGTTGGGCCACAAGGCGCCACTGTGGGTGCCGGATGCCCGCGTCACCATGTGCCAGCTGTGTCTCGGAGAGTTCACCATCACCTGGAGGCGACACCACTGTCGTTCGTGTGGGAGGGTGAGTTGTCTCCCTTTACAAGGAATTCTTATGTATGTTTTAACGTTTTCAACTTAAATTTTACCTCTGATGGATAGTTAGGTTTCAGTGTTCATGTGTTTTATTGATATGGAGGAAAAAGTAGAATTTGACATTGTCACAAAGGAACATGAACACATTTAGGAATTAATAAGGGTTTAACATGGCCACTAATGTGAGGATAGTGATAAGTCGTAAGGAGCTTTCAATGTAATACTGGATTTAGCTCATTGTGTCTACCTTGACTACCTATATTGTTCCTTCATATTTTATCTTTACCAACATTGTTCAGAATCAAGTCAAATATGTTTTTTAATTAAAACCTTTTTCTGGCAGTATTTAATAGTTTTCCACTGTACATTCAACTTAATCTGAGCCTGACAATGACTGTGTGTGTTTGACAGGTTGTGTGTGGGTACTGTTCAGACAATAAGGCGCCTCTGCGTTACCTGAAGTACAAGTCATCTCGTGTATGTGATGACTGCTTTGAGAAGTTAGAGAAAGGTAAGTCTGTGATAGTCCACGGCAAATTGGCAGATCCTCCACTCACTTTATGACATGTCATTCATGCTAGTCTCATTAATATCAGGGCCCACTTGCACAAAGCGATCTTAGTGCGAAGATGATTGTAACTCCCATACTTAAACATAGGCTTACAATAGTCTTAGCTCTAAGATCGTTTTGTGCAAGTGGGCCCAGGTCTTTACACCTCTCTGTGTGAAGATGTGAAGATCAACCCTCCATAGTATTATGACATTAATGACAAAATTTGTTTCTTTGTTTGTTGTTTAATGCCACACTAGGCAGTATTCCAGCTATGTGACTGCGGTCTGTAAATCTGGACCAGATAATCCAGTGATTGACATCTTGAGCATCGATCCCCGCAATTGGGATACAATGACATGCATCAACCAAGTCAGCGAGCCTGACCACCCGATACCGTTAGACGCCTCTTATAGCAAGCATTGGTTGCTGAAGACCTTTTCTACCCTAAATCTTCACGGGTCACTAATGACAAAAACTTCAGGATTGAAACTAAGTATGATGTCACTTGCAGATTATTACAAAATATGAAGCTTTGATGGATGCATATTAATAAGAACCAAGAGGATATCAATTACAGTGAACTGAAAATCATTTGTCAGTCTTGTGGACCAGTCTGATGTCATTAATGTCAATTTAAATCATTCATTCTATATATTCCTTTTGTCTGTTGTTTAACGCCACACTTGGCAATATACGAAGCCACTAAACGGACAGGGTGGTCAGGCTGGGTGACTTGGTTGGACGGTGTCGGTTATTGCTCATTGTATCAATCACTGATATATCTGGTCAAGGCACACCTGTTCACAGCCTGAGACAAAAGTTATGTGTTTGTTGTTCAGTGCCACACTCAGCAATATTCCAGCTATATGATGGCGGCCTGTAAATAATTGAGTCTGGACCAGACTGTCCAGTGATTGATATTGTGGGAGACAACAGCCTCGGTATAACAGTGGTAACGTATTACTTATAGAATATTCCGATAAGGAAAATTCTACAAAATCATTTGTCAGTCTTGTGGACCAGTCTGATGTCATTAATGTCAATTTAAATCATTCATTCTCCATATTCCTTTTGTTTGTTGTTTAACGCCGCACTCGGCAATATTCCAGCTATATGACAGCGGTCTGTAAATAATCAAGCCTGTGCCAGACAGTCCAGTGATTGACATCATGAGCATCGCTCCAATCACTTGTGATACGATGACATGCATCAACCAAGTCAGTGAGCCTGAACACCCGATCCTGTTAGTCGCCTCTTACGACAAGCATAGTCGCCTTTTACGGCAAGCATGGGTTGCTGAAGACCTCATCTACCCCGGATTTTCACGTGAATATATACGCCTCATGTTTTCCTTGTCCATAATTGACTAATCATCCACTTTCTGCCTTCAGTTGTAGATGAAGAGGATGGCAATGTGGAGCCAGAGGAGAGTGGTGCACAGCCTTCAAAAATCAGTCTCAAGAGTCTGAAAGATAGGTTTCAGAAAATCAGGAGAAGTGGTCGCAAGTCTCAGATGAAAAGACCGGCTGTACTGAAAGAAGTGAGTCAGATATGGATAACATTATAATGTACCTAATATAAGTCCATATATCTTTTTGTTACACCTCTATTAAAAATCTTGCAGTTCCATTGGTTAATCCATACCATGTGATGACAAACACATTTCAATGTAGACCCCGCAATCATGTGACTGAAACTGACCTCAAATATTGACTAGTTAAATGATTAGTATTGACCAGTATACAAATGATTTTTCTTGACGAGGTAAATATGCAAAAACAAATGAACCCTCGGACCCGACCCCTTTGGCAGTCTGCAGCCTCGGTCCGGTCAGGCCACCTCATGGGAAGGGTCCTTGTTTTCGCATGTTGACCTCGTCAAAGAGTAATTATTGGTATAGAAATACATTGTTACCGGTACAGCACCTGGAAGATAAGAGTTTTTCCTGAGATTTTAAGATGGTAATTTTCAATATGATGATACAGTAGAACATTGTTGTAACAAACAAGTATATAACATAGAAAGGGTTGTAGCAAACTATTTCAAAGTGGTATTGATATTATTGTCTGTGTGGAAAACATTATTGCGTGACTGCTTGACTCAGAAAATAATGCCTTTACAATGATAACAGTACATTTTAATCACAAGGCCAGACATTTTTAATTTTTCATTTCACGGGCCCACCCTTTTTTGAAAAACAGCTTTAAAAAGAAAGAAATGAAACAAGAAAGTATTTATTTTTATCATTTCTCCCCCTAGTAATATAGTCCCTCTTAAAAAATACAAACATGTTATATGTAAGTTCCATGTCTACATCACTCTCAGTGATTCAAAAGGCCACCTGCCACGACAGAATGCCTTTCATATATATAAATAGATGATTGACACAGCTATTTATACTTTTTTATATTTCGACTGATCTTGTGTGGAAAAGCTGGAATAAATCCATGAAACATAAAAATTTTAAAAAATGTGGCCTAACTGTGTAAGTCCATTGATCATAAACAATTTTCATACTTTCTTTCTCCTCAGGTCCGTGCCAATGATGAAGGATCTGTAATGAGTGGATATCTTCGTGTCCTTAAAAATACCAAGAAATGGAAGAAGCTGTGGTTTGTGGTCAAGGACAAGGTTCTCTACACTTACAAAGCTAGTGAGGTGAGGGTTAAAAAAATAGGCTTTTTTCGTGTGTTATATGAATGAATAGCTTGTTTCTTGATTTTTTTTCAAAGTGTTTGAAAACTTATCCTTACTATTGAAAAGTTAACATTATGTTATTAAACAGCCTCGCTGTTGAGTGTTAGCTCTTGAAACCAGTTCCCCAATACATTAATCCCATGACTGGTGTCTTCGTGTAAGCCTTCTGCTACTGCTAATAACGGTAATACCGTATTCGACGTAATAAGCGCCCAGGGCGCTCTCAAAATTAGAAATTGGGGGCTCTTATTAGAATATTATTTTGGTGAAAAAAAACAGAGTTGAAAGATAAATTTCTTGGTTTATGGTGACAGCCTGAAATGTTTATGTACGACAGATATATTTTCCCAGAATTTAATTGCCCATAATTAAGGGTGCATATAACACACGAGTGTGTATTATACGCGAATAAATAAGTCTTGTGTACATTGATCAATCGGAAGGGGTGCTAATTGGGATTGTTCACCAGCCTATATATCTGCAAATATCGCCGTGGGCGCTTATTAGAGCGGGACGCTTATTACGTCGAATACAGTACCTCACTCTGGGACATCCATATTGGCTGATGAAGCAGCCTAAACTGGTTGCAAGAAGTGACTTAATAAAATGAATGGTAAGGCTTGTTGACATGGGTAGGGTGTCATCGAACTCGACGACGTGGATCCAGATTGTCTGATCCAGAATTCTGCCATGATTCAGCTGGAATATTGTTGAGTGCAGTGTTGAATAACAAACAAACATATCTAACCCATTGAAGGAGTTTCTGTGTTTGATGTGGGTTGTGGGGGGGCAGTCGGGTAGCCTAGTGGTTAAAGCGTTCGATCGTCACGCTGAAGACCCAGGTTCTATTCCCAACATGGGTACAATGTGTGAAGCCCATTTCTGGTGTCCCCCTCTGTGATATTGCTGGAATATTGTTTAAAGTGGCGTAAAACCATACTCACTCATTTACTTACTTACTGATGTGTGTTGTAGGACATGGCTGCCATAGAGAGTCTACCACTACTGGGCTTTGAGGTGTCAAGGACGACTGTGGTAGGTGTTGGTGGGAACATTTGTATCAGTACATCGTGCTGGAGTTCAAATCTTGTAAGGTGTCTTTGTTAATTACAGATTATTGCAGATTATTTTTTCTTAAACGCTCGGGGCTGTGGTGAAAATAGACATGACATTAAAAAAACTTGTTTTTCTTGAAGTGACCCTTTGAATATTTTCTGCTGTGGGAAGTAGGGGAAAGAAAATAAATATTAGTACTGCTATTGCAGCTTTCTCATTTTGTCCACTTTGAACTGCAATTATTTATAAGGCTTGGGCAGAAATTATTACTTCTCATGGTGAGGGGTATAAGTGTCATCATTATATTATCTTGGTCATTGATTGTCAATCTATGCTTTGTTAAGGAGGAGACCCATGAAGATCCAGAGTGGAATAGGTCTTCAGCAACCCATTCTTGCTGTAAAAGGCGACTATGCTTGTCGTAAGAGGCGACTAACGTGATTGGGTGGCCAGGCTTGCTGACTTGGTTGATGCATGTCATTGTATCCCAATTGTGTGGATCGATGCTCATGATGTCACTTACTGGATTATCTGGTCCAGACACGATTATTTACAGACAGCCGTCATATAGCTTGAATATTGCTGAGCGCGCAGTTAACCAACAAACATCATCATCATCATCTTGTTAAGGAGGAATGGTGCTTTAACGTCACTTAATACTGTCATCAGAAATTGATACCTTTTACCAACTGACATAACTGCCAAGCACTAATGAAGTCACTGCTTGTTTAATTATCACCTATATGCATGGTGTTGGGCTATGACCCTATAGGTTACCATTCAAATAAGCACAAAAGACGACCATCACATTGTTTTATTGTGTGTCTGAACTTGGTGCAGTCATTAAATTAAGGGAGAGTTTGTCACATCCTAATGAATAGAGGCATGGTATTGGAGTAAAATATCTGATTTTAAGAGATTGAGCTTAGTGTTGATTGCGATGCATGCTGATCTGGCTACACCTCACAAATGAGGGTTTAGAGAGGGCCTCACAAATGAGGGTTTAGAGGGTACTCATACTCTCAATAAGGTGAAAAATGGAACATTGATAATGATATTATGTATTGTTTTATTCAAAGAGAAGATTTTGAAAACATTTGACATCGTATTTAATATGTTGTTTTAGAACTGTTGTGATTTTGGATGTAGATTTTGTTTGCTGGTGTTACCAACACACATGGTGTAATGGAACAACATGTAGTGAAGAGAAGTGTTTGTAACAAACCATGTGTTAGAGGGTGTCTTGAATGAATAAATTCAGTGAAGAGCAGAAATAGTCATGCCCTGACTGTGAGCTGACAAGTACTTTTGCATTTTACAAACATACATACATTTTCAGTATCGTGGTAAAAGTAGACATATTAATATTTTATGAATATTCTTTCACACAAGTTGAAATATGTGACAAACACCATGTGACTGGATGCATGTATTTTAGTATAAGGTTGCATGATGACAATTCCCTCTTTACAGGATCACTTAAAAACCGGGGTAAGACATGACAGTTGGTATTGTGTCAAACTGCATTTCGCTTCATGAATTTTCCCTAGTCAAAGCACACTGCATAGGTCTACTTTACTTCATGCCTGTCATAACAGATGACTATAATGGAGATCAGTTGGTCATCACAGCTTGAGTATGAATTGTTTTTTCAACGGATTGCCGCCTGGCAAGACCAACCCTCAATGGGTTTGCTGCTCATGATGTTGACCACCAGTTAGCTGGTACAGACTCTACATTAGAAGCCATCACAATGTAGCTGTCATTGTGCTGACATTGGCAGAAAACAATGCTGATCTATGTCATCAATCCCAATTGCGTGGATCGATGCTCATGATATCAATCACTGGATTGTCTGGTCCAGACTTGATTATTTACAGACCGCCATCATATAGCTGGAATATTGCTGAGTGCGGCATAAAACAACTAATCAACCAACCAACCAACTCTGTTATTTCTTTACATGCATAAACCTCACTTCCTTCAGCTTTCTTATATGTGTTTGATTTTGTTAGTAACAGTTTGAAGTTGCTTTTAACCCAAAGGACGCAGTCTTAGTACATGTAGAGTGTCTCATTTCTGTCAACAGTTCATGAAATGACTGTCATAATTATGATAATATATTGAAAGTGTTTTAATATTCATCTTATCAGGTTTTAGACCGGCTTAAGCTTTAAGAACTTTTTTTCTTTTTTTTTTACAAAATAACAGTGTGTAACAGATATTTTAATCACAATCAAGTTATATTTGTCACAGTTCTGTTCTGATTATTTTTAGAATTAGTAGAATTAATAATTGATGATGTGTTTCTGTCTGTGATCACTGAGGGTATCAAGTATTGCAGTGAAACCTCATTCATCAAACTGCCATGAACCTTGTCCCCATCATCTCAAGTCCTATCGCCTAGGAGTAGGAGGTATCACTACAGAGACATTGCTGAACAATACTTTGCAGACCATTGTGACATCATCGGTTACCATGACATCACAATCAAATAACATCACTAATCTATCTGGTTACAGTACCTGATTACAAACTGAAAAGTTTGGTGGAACAATTTTGGATGATAAATAGAACCTTAACCTTATACTGGCATATTTGATATAAAAAAAACACAAGTCTATGAAAGTTTAAAACTCCTCCACAAGCCTCGGATATTTGTAACTTTCATCAACTCGTCTTGATATATTTGACCAGGGGAGCCACTGGTTATATTTTTTATGTGATTGTTTGAAGTTGGTATGGCACCCATGATGCCTGCAGACAGAGAACTGACTGTCTTGATGCAATACAGGTGTCAGATGCTTTAACATGTTGAAATTTACAAACTTTCTTTTCATAATGGAGAAAAAATGAAAATCTTTTTATTTGACTTTCGGAATCAACAGATTCGAGTGATTTCTCTGAATTATACTATGTTATGGTTGATGTATAATTTGTTTTGCATTATGGCCTGTAGTTGCTTCAGTTTTACTTGTTAATATGTACGTTCAGAATGGCCAGTTTATTCCTTGCTCAGAGGGAGAACAGGTGGCCAAGTCCTCTGAGGCGCAGACCCTTGGGCACGCAAGAAACCTATGATTGTGGGTTCGAATCCCGGTTCGCCCCGATTATGTTTCAAGGTTTGTCAGCACCATACCCGTGCTCATGGGTTTCACCGAAGTAAAAGTCTGAGACCTGCATCACTTCGGGCTTTCCTCCCACATTAAGCTGACATGCCGCAATATAACTGGAATACTGTTTAAAGCGGTGTTAAACCCAACTCACTTACTCACTCCTAGCTCAGAATCAACTACAAGAACAATACCGTGGCTTAAATGAATAGCAATAATTTATTAACGGGTACATATGTTAAAGATGACATAGAAAGTTTCAATATAAACAACTTCAACAACACCATACACCGTGATGCAGTCTGCAGACGATATTTGGCCCCATCAGTGCGCCAATTTTGGTTAGCATTAGTGTTAACATCACAGATTATGGCATTGCCTATGTTACTTTGTTTGAACTTATTGCAGTATCTAATGGTAAGACAACATTATGAATCATACAAAAATTCCCTATTTTGGAAATCCCCTCCCTTCCTGGATAAATCCCTGCCTTTGACAGTATGTATGTCCCATGGTGGACCCTGAACTGTTGTGTGCAGAGGTTGACAGTTGAAGACTGAGATAATGAGGTTTTACTGGATACTGTATTCGACATAATAAGCACCCAGGGCGCTCTCAAAATTAGAAATAGGGAGCTCTTATTAGAATATTAATTTGGTGTAAAAAAACAGAGTTGAAAGATCGTAAATTCCGAGGTTTATGCTGACAGCCTGAAATGTTTATATATGACAGATATATTTTCCAGAATTTAATTAACACGAATAAATAAGTCTTGTGTACATTGAACAATCGGAAGGGTTGCTAATTGGGATTGTTCACTAGCCAATATATTAGCAAATATCGCTGTGGGCGCTTATTAGAACGGGGCGCTTATTACGACGAATACGGTACATGTGTTCCCAGCTATCAGCACACTTTATCACACCTGAAAACATTAAGCCAATTATGCACAGTATGCACAATTTATTAGTTGCCGTCTTTCTTTTTGTTCATTGTAGGCTAGTAACTTTGTGACCTATCATTAGTGTGTTACACTTGGCCTTCTATGTTGTGATATTTGAATGTATTTGATGAGTATCTGCTCTTCTACAGAATTCTGTGTTTTCTGTAAGTATCCTGTTGTAACCAACAGCTATCAATACCCACCTATAGTGGTATTTACCTTGGTGTTCCTGGCCCATATAACCACTCCTCAGGTATATATATGACTGCTAGGTTGTTATGCATATTTATCCCCCAAGTTATATTTAACACTGGTGGATGGAGGAGCTCAGGTTGTGTCCTGTGTATCACCTTTACAGTTGCTAGACATGGAGGATGGGTTTTGTTCATATTTGTAATGTTTTTTTCCTAATGTACAGTTTGTTCCCCTTGGGTGTGTCTGTCACCTATTATCATGGGTTTGAATCCTGGTTCGCTTTAATTGTGTTTTTAGATCTGTCAGCACCATCCCCATGCTCATTGGTTTACCAAAGTGGTAGATGTCTAAGACCTGTATCATTTTGAGCTTTCCTCCCTCAACAAACTGACATGTTGTGATAGTCTGTCATAGCTTTGTTGAACCCAACTAACTCATTGGGCAGGCAGACAAAAGTTATTTATAACTAAACAGTACTTGAATGTCTGTGGATCTTGTTCATGTGATCCCAGTTTAGAATATGTACTTGTCAAAAGTACGAAATAAATTGAGGCATTTGGACACAAGGTGTGACCGGGTTGATTTTGTGTGATGTTTTCCTCATGCTTTAAACCACAATCGTGAAGATCTGAGGTAGAATAGGTCTTCAGCAACCCATGCTTGTCATAAAAGGCGACTATGCTTGTCGTAAGAGGCAACTAACGGGATCAGGTGGTCGGGCTCGCTGACTTGGTTGATGCATGTCTTTGTATCCCAATTGCGTGGAATCACTGGAATGTCTGGTCCAGACTCGATTATTTACAGACTGCTGTCATATAGCTGGAATATAGGGGTGTTAAACAACAAACAATCAACAATCAATTTTAGATAATAAATAGAACCTTATCCTTATGCTGATATAAAACATGGAGTCCACACCTTTCTCCCAGTCAATATAAAGTGGGAAAAATCCATATATACTCATTCATTTGGCTTTGGTCAGAAAATGTTTCTAGTTTTATCTTGCTCTGCTTGTTTCCCATGTTCAGGGTGTTTGTGACAGTGGGTGATGTGTGTTGGGTGTGATCAACTTGGTCATGTCTGTATTTCAGTGGATCGAGGGCGCAGAGCCGGATCTGGTGTTTCAGCTGACCCACAGCAACACACAGCCACACATCTTCCGCACAGACAGTGCAGCAGCCACTGAAAAGTAAGGGCAAATCATATTACTTAAAAGATAATCTTACAGATGTATTAAAAAACTTCATCATCATCATATTTATGCAGATGCCTAAGTTCAGGGCCCACTTGCACAAAGCGATCTTAGCACTCGACTATTGTAAGCCTATGTTCAAGTATGAGTGTTACGAACATCTTAGCGCTAAGATCGCTTTGTGCAAGAAGGCCCAGATGTGGATATTACCATTATGATAAGCTGAACTAGGATAATTGTAATTCCAATATGGGAATTTTCCCGACATTTCTGTTACACATATGGCCAAATAAAGTGGGTCTGACATCACATGGCAATGGTATTGTACGTTTCTTAAACGATTTGAGACGAAACAATAATTCATTACTCTCCTGCCATAAAGCTCCACATATCTATACATGGTGACATACTTGCAGATGGCTGACCGTGATGAGAGAATCTTCTGTGGCCTAGAAAATGACAGAACAGTGCACAGATATGGACGTCGCTCATGTCACAGACACCTGGAGTGTCATCTCAAGCCAAGCTGTGCAATAGTACAAGTCTCAACCTGCAGTCCTAGCTTGGAGCCACATTCAGGGACGAGCTGGTTTGTCCAAGCCAAACATAGAACAAACGTTCTAGGTTTGATGGTAGAACATAACTTAGGTTTAGTCTCATATTTGTACACACTAAACAGGAGTCTGGGTTCAAGTCCATAATTTGTTCTGATTATGATCCTTGGTTTGTCAGCACCATACTTGTGTTTGTAGGTTTCAAGAGGTGTACACATGGGTTTTCCTTCCACGTTAAGGTGACAGTCTGTATTACAACGAAGTGAGGTTCTATAAGTGACATGAAACAAACTCAATCACTTGTTGAAGGTTTATTGTAGAACTTGTGAATAGATTATTATCAGAAGTTGGTTAAATTAAGAAAATATTTTTTACTGTTACGTGCACTGGAATTACAGAAAATAACGTGCAATGTTCTAGTTATGATGATTTTATTGATTATGTATGGAAAGAGTAGAAATTACTAAGGAGAACATAAAGAAATAAAACTACAGGTAGTTGAATATTGGAGAAAAAATATTTAAGTTTATATATATGTCAAATTATTCCAGACGTGTGGAAAGATGTGCTATAAACATCAAGCTGGCTGCTGTGACATAACATGAAATACTGGTCAAAGTGGCTTTAAACCCAACTCACTCACTCTGATAATTATGTGTATTAAATTACTGGCGTTCATTATAATTGGGTTTGTAATGATTTGTCAGAAATATGTATCTTGTTAAAACTTGACACATGACACTTTGTCACAGAGAGGAGTTGTATTTGATAATCAAGGGAAATGACTTAAGGCTTGAACTTGAGTCATTAGAACTTACAATGGCTTGAGAACATTTGTATATACCATCAGAAATAGTATTTTACACATCATTATGAGCCCTCAGTTTATGCATGTGTATTGTTTTGTGTTCTACATCACCTTACTTGATGATAAATGTATTGTATGTCGTGATGCACCACCAACTGTACATGCTTGCCGTGAAAGACGACTCTGCTTGTCGTAAGAGGCGACTATGCTTGTAAAAGGCGACTATGCTTTTCGTAAGAGGCGACAATGCTTGTCATAAAAGGTGACTTATGGGATCAGGTGGTCAGGCTCGCTGACCTGGTTGATGCATGTCACCCAATTGTGTGGATCATTGCTCATGTTGTCAATCACTGGATTGTCTGGTCCAGACTCGATTATTTACTGACCGCCGTCATATACCTGGAATATTGCTGAGGGAGATGTTAAACAAGAAACAAACAAACCAACTGTACACTCAACTCATACCAGCTATGGGGCGTTGGGGTAGCCTAGTGGTTAAAGGGTTCGCTCGTCATGCTGAAGACCCCGGTTCTATTCCCCATGTGGGCACAATGTGTGCCCATTTCTGGTGTCCCCTGCTGTAATATTGGTGAAATATTGCTTACAGCAGGGAAAAACCATTCTCACTCACTCACTCACTCACTCACTCACTCACTCACTCACTCACTCACTCACTCACTCACTCACTCACTCACTCACTCACTCACTCACTACAGTTACTAGTCTCATATGTTGAATCTGATTCAAGATTCAAACCTTACCTGTGGGAATGTGAGGACAGGACAGGTCCACATCACCACACTTTTGAGAATCAGCTTGTGTGGATTGGGTGATCACAATATGTGACCTGGCTGAGTGTGTATCTTTATAACCTGATGGTATGTATCGTTGCTCATACAGTCAACCATTTGCTCCATTGACCTAAAATAGAAGCAGGGCGGTCGGGTAGCCCAGTGGTTAAAGCGTTCGCTTGTCATGCGGAAGACCCGGGTTCGATTCCTGACATGGGTACAATGTGTGAAGCAAATTTCTGGTGTCCCCCGCCGTGATATTGCTGGAATATTGCTAAAAGCGGCGTAAAACCATACTCACTCACTATAATCGAAGCTGGAATGTTGGTGACTGGCATCAATCAGCACACTCTCACTCCCATGTACAGCAGGCTGTGAAAGTGATTTAGGGGGGTTGTCGCAAAACAATAAAAGGGCAACACTAGACAAAAACATTCACACAAATGAATTTTCTTCTTTTAATATGAGGTTTCTTGGGTCCACTTTCGTTTTGTGGAAATATGAAGCTTCAAAGATCATTAATGAAGTTGGTTGCTTATGTGGTCTTTGTATTAAAGGAGAAAATGATATTGATATTTCTAGTGTACAAGGATTTCATGGTTGATATACTCATTGCCCTCAGCACCATCTTGTGCATATACAGCAGTATAACCATTGCTTGCAACTGAGAGTTAATCAAGAGAAATGCAGTCTGTGATGACATACCATTGAAATGCAACCATCGATATTATCTTTCTTTCACTCTGTTCTGATCTGATCTGTGTTACAAGTGTTATATTTGGGATAACACTTTCTTAGTAAAGTAAAGATTCTTGTACTTTTTGGGGGTTATGTTCCATCTGGGATTCAAACTCACAATGCCAGAGTGAGGCACTTAATCGCCAGCACACAAAGTCAGTGATCTAACCCGCTCAACCACCGAGGCTTCCACAAAAATGAAAGTCTGACAACTGACACACGATTTCGCCGAAATTAATTAAAACAATATTAAAAGGAATTTTGAATAAAATTAATGAAATAAGTTACAAACATAAGTCCAGATATACAAAGAACACTTTTTATAGCCAGACAGTGTAATTACATGAATAATTTGCGTACTTCGGTATGGATTTGTTGACATGGTATTTTCCGGTGTTACGTGCTCACGGTAATGTCTTTCCATGGGGGAAAAAACATCAAAACTCATAATTCGTGTATAATGCGCACCCCCTTCTACACAGCTGTGTTTTTTGGAAAAAAAGTGCGCACTATACTCAAGAAAATACGGTACTTTGTGTACCCTCTGATCTGTGTTCATCAGTGTGTGATGTTGGCTTCATCTTTGCTTCGGACTGTGAAAACGTCAATTCAGTTTATGATTTATATTTGTTGTGTGGTTGAGTTGTCTTTGTAGTGTTTAACGTACATATTACTTAGTTCATTTTGAACCATTACAAACATGAATTTCTACAACTGTATTAGTCTTAGTAATCATTTGTCACAATATCAGTACTATCCACTTTTATTTTGCTTTATTAGGTATCATGTACACCAGTTCAGCGTGACAAGACAAATACATGAGATTATTCATATTTTCATATGTCAATTGGACGATGCCAAAGCTCACTATGCAGAGTTGTTTCCCTTGGTTTAGGATCTGCTGGTGTGGCATTACAGTTCATCCTGATCATGATCTTAGGTTTGTCAGCACGGCATCCATCTTGATGTGATTTCATGAAAGTATTTCGACAACGTGACCCACATAGGCTTTCCGCCACATTAATAATAAACTCGATCATTGTTCATAGTCCTCTTAAAGTTTGTGTTAACTTTCAACATTATGAACAGATTAATATCCAGGTCCCAATTCCAGTTACATTTACATGTCTCAGAGGTCAATTCTTGATGAATAACTATTAACTTTTAAACAAGAAAACAGTGGAACGTTCTGGATTTTTTTTCGGAACTTAAATGGATGTTTCTATTCTGTATTTTACTTTGTGAAAATCCTTGTATTCCATGTCTGGTATATTCGTTGAATTATGTGATATTCTTTGACTGCCATGTTATCAATTGCCATTAACATGAAGAAGTATGCTATGCACTGCAATCGGTCAACCTGTATATCTTAAATTGTTCTTTTGAATGATGTCAAATATTAATTATCTCATTTCAAAACATTTTCTATGTGCATATCAATTGTCTTGCCTTGTCTTTTCCTAAATTATTTCTGATTACGAGTGGGTAAATGACAACGAGTATTTAACAGAGTAGACACCATTTATTAACAACTGCCTTATTATTCTGTTATAGTGACTTTTGGGTAGAGAACCTTATGCCATTGGTGTAAGACAATGGTAAGGATCTATTCCGAAACGTCGCTATTACAGTATAACAAAGAAGTTGTTATTTATAATTGTGTCTACTTTGTCATCCGTCAACTTCTAAAAAATGCCTATCAAACAATTATGTATTTGTATAGAACTTTAAGATTAAGAAATGTATTCTTGTATACTATTACCTATACATTTAAGAATAAGAAATTGTACATACCATATCAGGTGCCATGGACTGAATTGTATTGATGTTGTGAGGGTGTTGTGGGGATGCTGATATGTCGGAATAATGAAAAGGAATTGTGAATGATACATTGCACTGACTTCATTAACGTCACTGTTTGTAACTAACAAGACGTGTGTTTCAAGCCTACTTGTTGATTGATTAACACTGTGCCTAAAAATGCTGATATAATAAGATAACAGTGTTTGTATGTTATATCTGCATATTTCATTGAATTCACCAAACATTGTCTGTTTTGCTGGTGTTGACATTGTTATGTCTTGTACAACATAGTGGTAGGACGATACAACGATGCACCAGTGGATCACGTTATTTTACTTCCCGATACAAGTATCGATCACAGTTGCACACTTAGAAAAAATATCGATTCATACCTTAAATGTTTACTTTAATGGTTGTTCCACCAAACACTAATTAGTAGTGAAAATTAGTAGAGAAAAAGTAAATATTTTCATCCATTGCGCCATAATTGACACTGCCAACTGTAAATTATCAGTGTGCAAGGTATTTGACTATCCTGTCTATGAAAAATATGGGTTACGCACTACAGATACGAGCACATACAAGTATTGTGATACGTATCATATCATGAACAAGGTATCGTGATACGTATCGGATCGCACAGTTGGTGTATCGTCCCAACCAAGTACTAAATGAATATGTATATATATATATATATTTATGTAAGTTACAGGGACACGATGCAATCTGTCTAAGGTGACATCATCGTTATGAGTATAATATATTCTTATACATAATTACTATGTAAATTCTATTTTAAGTCAAATATGGAAAAAATGAAAACAAGCGAGGGAGCATTCCTGTTGCCATAAAGGAAATAGTGACAAGATGGTCACTCAGTCCTTGCATGTACCTATGCCATATGCCCAGATAATACTTCAAGGTAAGGATAAAATATATGGATAAACAACTTCTTTATTACAATAGGAGCGACGTTTCGGTGTAGGTTCTAACACGGTTATCAAGCAAGAACCTACACCGAAACATCGTTCCTATTTTAATAAAGAAGTTGTTCATCCATATATTTTATCCTTACTAAGTACTCAAACTTCTAAATGCCTCTCAATGAAGTTAATACTTCAAGGACTTAGGGTACACATACTCATCACTGTCTCACAGCTAGATTTGACATTACATAAGAGGTAGATACTTCACACTGCTATCATCTGTACAGTAAGATTCCGAAACAATAGGTCTTCCCTGCCAGTCTATGTTTCATTAGGCCACTCAAAATTAATTTTTAGATTTACATTAAACTCATTCAAGAACCGTTAGACTGGTATCACTTTTTTCATTTTAAACAAATTTTGCCAAACATCTGTGAAACGTATCTGCTAAAGGATGCAATTCACAGCAAGTGAGAATGTTTGGTAATACTACATATGTGGTGTATGGTAGGTGCTTCCAATGAAATAATATGAGCTAGGTGTTTGGTAGCTAGACAGGTACATAATACTAATAATGAATTGATGATGGTCTCAGCTCATAAACATATTTCCTGACTATATGGATGAAAAACAAACCAATAATGTGGAGCAGTTATTGAGTATACTCTACATTCTTGGGTTAGGATAAGTGGTGTAGATATTTAGATAATATTTATGTTTTTCATGCCACATATCTTTTTGCCTATGTTTCATATTTGGAAAGGTTTGGTGATAGGGTGAAAGCAATCGATATGTTTATATAATTCACCACATTTATAGCCCTGAAATCAATTAATAGAATAATGAACATGTATTTTAGCTGAGGTCACAAAATGGAATGAATTACAGAGAATGTTGTCATTTTATAAATGATGCTTCACAGACCGTATGTTTATGTAGAATAATTTTGATGTGTTTTTAATTTTTTTAAAGTAAAATAATTGTGACACTTTTTCTATTATATTTTTTCTAATATATTTTCATGTAAAAGTGTATCTAGATAACATAGGCTGAATTCTGTTTGATAGATTTTGAATGTACTAGTTAATTTTTATATTCAATTATTGATCTACTTCAGATATATATCATATATATTATATCTTTTGGATGCCGTGATAATGAACGAGGCCAAAATGAAACATTAATTAGTAATAATTCCCTTGTCAGCATTTTATTACTGTCTGAATTGCATCCAACAGGCTCCTCCCATTATTTTATCAACACATACTTTATCAGTAGATTCAAAAATGCACGATGCAGTGTTTGATATCAGTGATTATCTACACATACACATAACAGTATAATGCATGATGCAGTGTGTGATATCAGTGATTATCTACACATACATATAACAGTAATAATGCATGATGCAGTGTGTTACATGAGTGATTATCCACACATACACATAACAGTAATAATGTATGACGCAGTGTGAGATCAGTGATTATCTATACATACACATAACAATTATCAACGCATACATACACCAACAGTAAAGATGAAATAAAGCATACACGACACAGTTTATGATATTTATTGGTTATTATACAGCAGTATATATTCCATATCAACCCTTGACCCCCATATCAACCTGAGGGCTGAAGGCCAGAGAGATGATATGGGGTATGATATGAAACTGACATATGATAATCTTTTTATCACATACCACTACATAAAATTGTAAAATTTATCTATTTGCAGGTGAATGCAAAACATTTTCACCTAGATTGGAAGTTATTGTCATGGGAAAGCTATTTGAGCAGATGAGAAGGCAACACTTCCTAAGGGACATAACTCTAATTTCTTACCACCAGGGCTGATATCGATTGCTCATTCAAAACCCCTTTGATATGACCGTCTCCATTTTGACTTTATTGCACATGCACAATGCCTCATATCATTGATAGGTGTATGAAAACAGTGATTATTAACACTACACCACAAATGATGAAGCATACATGCCTGATACAGGGTATGTTAACAGTGGTTAGCACAGATTCAATGTGCTACTGCAGCATCCACAAAACACTGTATATCAATAAGCATGAATGCATGTACAGCAGGAATGCTCCTATTGTAGTTGATGTTTAGTAAACTATATTAGAATAGTGATCCATTGTTAATTTGTTACAATCTGACGGTGTTCTATGCCTGTTGACTCACCACTGTTGTCATTATTTACTTATCATAAGGTGCTGAACTTTATCTTTATCTGACTTATATTCTTGATAAATCATATATTCATCTGTAATTATTCATATTTTATTGAAATTATATGATGACTAATTTCGTAGTCTGCTCATTGTTCAGAAATATGTACATTTTCTTAATAAATCAAGTATGTTTGCTGAATGATTGTTACGTTTTTGTTTGTTTGATCAGGCACCTACTTATACACCAGGGCTTTTATCAAAGTAGTAAATATCTTAAATCTGACATTTGACTTTCCTCCCACATCAAGCTGACAGGTGATGATATAACTGAAATACTGTTTAATTGAATATGCATAAATATAAAGGAAAGTCAGAAGAAATGATGTTCTAAAACAACTGCAGAGAGTTCCTTATTTATTTATTCCACATTTGAACTTTAAAACACAAATATATTCTTACGTAAGTGTGTTCTGTATTAAAGATAAGAAAATCAAAGGTTTTCACCATTGCCCTGTTGATAAAGGACATTACAAATCTTCATAATAAGGACGAAGAATTATCTAGCACTTGCATCGTGTGAATAATTATGCCACTGGTGTTGACAATGTCTCAGTTCTTGAACATCTTCCACCATGTCCTATGTTGACTTTAATTTCAAACGTGATGCTATCACAGCAAGGCCAAAAGCTAGAAGGTGTGGCAGGAATTCCTTCCCTAAAGACATGAGTGCAGGTAGCATTTTGTCTTTAAGAAAACTACCACCCTTTACAGCTTCACAACGCGCTTGTTCTCTAAAATCCACCTGAACTTTCTTGGCTCCAAGATCTCGTATTGCTTGGATTTCATTTTTATGTTGCAGTTTCAGTTCTTGTAATTGTCTTCTAATGTTCTCCCAATCGCTGGTGGACGACTGAGATGCACGTTCAGTATCCAGCTGTTCAAGTCTCGTCGAAAACTGCTTGATGACTTCTTCATGGTCCTGTTCGAGCTGCTTCACCTGGAGTTTCGTCTGTCTTCTGACCTCATCAAGTTGGGATTGCATGGTTTCTTCGTATTCCCGCTTCAGTTGATCATCCTTCTCCTGCATAACCTTTTCTGCCTCTTGGTACATCTCATTGGTATAAACCTTCCCTCCGTTGTCATGGACCATCTTATCAATGACCTCCAGTAAGGTTTGAACATCTTGGTCCTTCTCACTGTGTGATCCTCTGTTATTAAACGAGACATACCTGCCGTTACAATCTTCCAGTATAGATTTTAATTTGTTGGATTCTTTTCCCAAAAAATCTTCAATTGTTTGATTATTGTAAATAAGATCATCCTTTCTGGTAAAAAGAATGATCAAGTAATCCAACATGCCTCTCCCAAATATATTCAAGAAATGTTCAATGGTATTCTGTTCTTCCTCTGTGAATCTGTCAACACTGACAGGGAGTATAAACGCATGGGGCCCGGGAGCAGTCATCCCAACACACTTGACAACCTCTCGGGCGATGTCTTCAGTCGGCATTTCTGTGTCATACATCCTAGGTGTGTCTATAACCTGAAGACGGCGTCCGAACCTAATGCTTGTACCACGCTTGCATTCTTTAGTAACACCGGTCAGTGAAATGGGAAACACTTGATTACCAAGGATGGTGTTTCCAGATGAACTTTTCCCGGCCCCAGTCCGTCCCAGAAGAACCATTCTAACCTCTTCTCCTCCACAGGCGGCACTGTAGACAGCTTCATCCGCTACTTCACCATCTGGAAGCCCGAAGGAATTCAATTGTACATTAAGCCGTAACTACTTCCACTGGAAAAGACGAGCGATTAAGCACCGTTACGTTCAAAATATACCTTCTCTGTACACGGTATGTATGTATGTATGTATGTATGTATGTATGTATGTATGTATGGATGGATGGGTGGATTTATCAGTATCCTGCTTTTGTATGTTCAATTATTCATTTATTTACTTGTAGTAACACAATATGTATTCATTAATAAAATCAATTACAAAAACATTCCTATTAGACAGCCGTAAATTAAGACAAAATATGCAATAGGTAAACTGTTGCTCAGGATGTTTTTCTTTAGTTTCACAATGACAGGTTATCGCTGAAAACACCGGACCTACATGTACCTTTATGTGTCGTGCAGTTATGTAGTAAAATAGACAAACCTGCCAGTGCATTTGCACCTCCTAAATGAGTTTCTTGAAAAGACTTTGAACTGGATTACCCCTTAGTCAGAATATCTTCCTCAAACGTTCTGTCCCATGACCTGAGTGAACCACAGATGATACATTCCCAGTTATCTCCCTCGTTGATGAATGTACATTTTGTACATTCCCATTCTAAAAGAAAGAAGATAGAGAGCAAAAGAAAGTATATCGAGTTTGTTTCTTTATGTAATCGAAATTGGAAGATCTGTTGTTAAATTTTATTGACATCACTCATTCCTGCAAAAAAACTTAAACAGAAATCTGTGGCTGGGTAATTTTGTGTAAAAATATATTGGTTTAATGAAGGCTGGGGTTTGAAATGAATTTACAACCTTATTATCCGACTCCTGTGTATCATGATTACCATCCATTCTGTCACAGTACCTTCACAAAGAGATTGTGTGGTTCATATTTTAGCCTTAGTTTGCTACAACCCCACAACCATGTCACGGTGACCTACGTTTTTCGCGTAAAAATGGAAAGGAACACAAACCTATCAGAGACTGAATGACAATGTCGTGGTGATGGAGGTCACTTGGGTTCTCTGCTCGACACATCTCACATCTTGTTTCTTCAACCTCATTTATGAAGGAACAGGCGGGACAGGTCCACACTAGAATGAGCAAAGGAACATGGGAACATATTATATTATGGGTATAAGCCTACATATGTTATGAATATCTAAATGCGTTTGCAATGTTCTGAATGTACTCATACATTCTGTACATTTGTCCAGCAGCACAAATACGGACTTAATATAATCGGTTATACTCTTAAACAGGCCATAAAACAACATGACAAGCAATGCAATCAGTCACTCAAAAATAATTCCATAATTCGTTTCTGAATACACATTTCAAATGGATATTTATTCCTCGTCACACTATCTATTTACTAATAGTCAAAGAGGGTGCAAGTTGTATGTAGAGTTACTTACTTTTGTCACCTTGGTGTTACTTTAGCCAGTCAGAATATGATGTAGGTTATATGAATGCCTGAAAAGACACAAAACCTGTATCCCTGATTCAAATAATCGGGCTAAAAAGGACGACACATATAACGAGGTCTGATAATGAAGATCCCCGTGTGCAACCAGTTCACCACCTTATAGCCGAAGTTCGCTGTGTCCGACTTCGTTACATCAGAAGTTAGATTGACGTCCAGTACCATTTTCAGTTTACCCCATTCTTTAACAAAGACCTGAAGTGTGACCTGGCTGATCATGTGTTTCGTGCGGTTCGTTGTTGTGTCCACCACTAGTGTGTCTGGTTCAGGATCAAATATGCAAAGGCCGTTACGATATGACTGATACATTGTTAATGCTGTAAAACCAATTAATTGTCATATCCTGGATGGAACTGCACTCAGATGGTGCACTACATGGCAAACAACAAACATAATTGCATTTAAGCGCAACCTTTTTAAAATGTATTATTCACTTAAATGTTACAGCAATGTATTTCACTATACATACCGCCATACTGTTCGTATCACGTCAACCCAGCGCACAAATGTATAAACGAACTGAGTCGTGTTGTAGCTGTAACGTGTACAAAAGACTACAACAAATGATATTGCCCTGTTGCAAAACCTGGAAACGCCCTTGTTTGTGATTTCAATTATTATTAGTCAGAAACACTTCCTCCTCTCATGTCCTAGGAAAGCTCCATTCTCGAGGAATCTGGTTTTGGGGATTTAAAATGTCACAGTGTTCAATATCTATTCAATGAGCTATTGCGTTTATTTTTATTTCCGCGTTGTGGGCAACCCAAGGCTTCTGACGTGTCAAGCTGCTGTGTTGTCAAACAGCAAACCTGATTCGTGTCTAGCTGTTCACAAAATGTGTCTAGATAGAGTGAGGCATTAGCAGCAGGTATGTACTTCTTCTGCTGTTCATCCGTCAAACATTATTTTGCAATGCATATACGTATTAAGAAAATTTGAGTGTAAGAAGAAAGTGATGCTACAATTATAACACTTCTTGTCATTTTAAGTGTTCTATCCAACAACCCTGTGTTTTCCTTTGGTCGATGTCGACTTCTAAAGTGTGATAGCACTTTCTTTACCATGTTTAATGGATCGTGACGTGTGTATATTCTTATCGCTATCATACTAAGCTAACCTTCGCAATATTTCATGCCTGAAGTGAAAGCGAAAATAGGATCAATATTGTACCTGGGAACTAGATACATGATTACGCAAACGCTTGCATTCACTAATAATTAAGAATTGACTGTCACATGCTCCGACGTTCATACGGTTTGGCCCTCACTCTATGAAGGTTCATACTCGGCAAGCCTCGGAATATTTCCACTTTTATCAACTCGTGTTGATATATTTCATATCAAAAGACACTCGGGTGAGATTCTCTATATTAACATGTGTACGTCTTTTGTACCTTATTCAAAATAGGTCAGACAGGTGTTTTGTATGAGTCACCAGACATACCGTTAGTAGCCATTATTATAAACATAATGTATAGCATTCTAAACGATGAACTTTTTTGTAGGATTGGACCAACAAAATATAAACACAGAAAATATTCCAAGAATGGGTGAGTAGAGAAATGCTAACTCTTTTCTGTAAATATCAAAATATCCATCCATAAATCAATATGTAACTTCCCTTGGCTATTTAATTCTACATCACTCGTGTTGTGAGATTCCAATAATGTAGATTTGCAGTTGGTAATTCTTTCATACTCATTCCTTCGTATTTACATATGTTTCTATGATGTTGCGGAAACCACTAACTATTTTGTATTTCTGTGTATTAGCAGCTAGTAAGTGTCGTGAACTGCTAGTAAAATCAGAGTGAGTGAGTTGTGTTTAACGCCGCTTTTAACAGTATTACAGTTACATCGCGGCGTGTCAGCTTAATGTGGGAGGAAAGCCCGAAGTGATGCAGGTCTCAGACGTTTACCCACGAGCACGGGTATGGTTCTGACAAACCTAGAAACATAAGCGGGCGAACCGGGATTCGAACCCACAATCATAGGTTTCTGGCGTTCCCAAGGGACGCACAGCAAATCGCGGCGCCTTAGACGACTGGGCCACCCGTTCCCCTAGGTAAAATCAGAAGAAATGAAGATTGATAGAGAAAGAACTGCCTCTGTCACATAACCATATGCATCAGTGACTCAATTTTAATTCGGGGCGGTCGGGTAGCCTAGTGGTTAAAGCGTTCGTTCGTCACGCCGAAGACCCGGGTTCGATTCCCGACATGGGTACAATGTGTGAAGCCCATTTCTGGTGTCCCCAGCCGTGATATTGCTGGAATATTGCTAAAAGCGGCGTAAAATCCAACTCACTCACGCAATTTTAATTCCTTATTATGAATGTGTATTTTACAAGGCTAAGAAAACTTATTTTTGTTGAAACACACATTTATTAAGTATAAAATCACTCTCCAGATGCGCCTATCGGCTGGTCAGATGACGTTTGTCCAGAGAGAAGACTCGTCGTGTTGGGACGGACAGGGTCAGGGAAAAGCACAACGTGTAACAACATCCTAGGTCGGGATGAATTCAAGTCCGACGCATGTGGTCAGTCTGTCACCGACAAATGCCAAAGGGCCATCTGTCAGAGGTTTGGACGAAACGTTCATATCATTGACACTCCTGGACTGTTTGATACAGGCATGTCCAATGCCGACATCACCAGAGAGGTGGTGAAATGTATTGGAATGACGGCACCTGGACCACATGCTTTTATCATGGTTGTCAGGATTGATAGATTCACGAAAGAGGAACAAGATACCGTAGAACACTTCAAGAACGTCTTTGGGGAGGGAATGATGAAGTACCTTATGGTTCTGTTCACTAGAAAGGATGACTTGGATTATAGCGGCAAGACTATTGAGAAATACCTGGAAAACGTACCACAAATGCTACGAGATCTTCTGAAGTCTTGTGGCAATAGATACATTGCCTTTAATAACAGGGCATCTCCAGAGGAGAGGGGCGGGACGGTTCAAAGGTTTCTGGACATGGTGGACAGGATCCATTCTAACAACTCTGGTGAGGTCTATACAAGCGACATGTACAAAGAAGCTGAGAAGGTGATGCTGAGGAGGGAGGAACAGCTCAGACAGGTACACGAGGCTGAAGTCAATAAGGAAAAGAAGAAGATACAAGAGGAATATCAGGCCAAAATGACAGCAATGGAAGAGGCTCAGACAGAGAAGATCACCCAACTTGTACAACAGTTGAGCATGAAAGAACAGCAAAAGGAGCAACAGTTAGAAATTGAGAAAATGAAACTGGAAATAGAGAAAGAAAGACTGCAAATGGAAAGTGATCTTCAGAAGGAACGACAGCGTCTAGAGGTAGAAGTCGAACGGAGGAAGATGCTGTGTGGGGGTAATCCTCCAAATTATAGAGAAACGGCTCGGAAAGAAGTCAACAATGAAACAGAGATGATGATGAATCTTTTCAATGTTGTTGTGAAGCTGGTTGGACCGCAGTTACTTGCATTAGCTATGGGTAAGATGGAAGAACACTTTTTCAGTACGCCGTCTGACGCCGCCTTGACAAATGAAACACCTAAAGTTGAGTCACCCGAGGACAAGTCACAGGTTAAAGGTGAAACCAACAGAAAGGATGAAGCAAAATAAATTAAATCTTTATTCAATTATGAAATTTGTGGAGACAAATTAAGATTTTTATATTAATTGTCAACCTGGTGACTGTGCTGATGGTAACGACATAGTTCGCACTTTGTGCACAATCATAATAACGGATGTTGACCGTAATAGTGCATTTAGGAGTCAATGGGATTCACATCCGTTGACCTTTCTGACTTTCTTAGTCCGGGAGATGGGAGCTCAGTGTCAACATAAACATCTTGATCTGATTCTGATTTCTGATAAAAAATAAATAAATATTGTTTTAAATATATTTATAAGTTTCGTGTATGGAAGTGACGGAAATATTTAAAGGCCAATTAAAGACTCATTAATTAAAAGACGACTTAGTATATATAGAGATAAATTATCCGTTTAGTTTTAAAACATTTATGTTATTGACAAATGCTGGAATATTAAACATATTTGGTAATTCAGCAGATACCGTAAAAAAAATATAATGGTGTTTTTATCTTCGATACATTTAAACAAAATTTAGGCACTCTTTTATTGGGAGGAAGAGGGAAATTACAGTATCTGTTCGTTTGTATTCCTAGTTCTAAATAAACACAACTTAAGCAAGTTAAAATAGACCATTGGGCAGCATAAGGGTTCTGTATTAAAATATAACTTAAAAAGCTGACATGTTCTCAATTTGATCATCGAATGGACGTTTTCATACCAAGCGTTGTAATCCGTTTTCTTGAGGCGTTTATACTGATTTAAAATCCGCCCTGCTTTTCATTGCCGGTAAGAATATCCATAATGCCCAAATTGGCTTACACTTTTAAAACTTTATATTCCCATGATTTATTGCACCGTGGATTGGGTGGATTTTAGCTGTGAGTCTTATATGCGACAACGTCTCGAGTCTGTACAGGAGGCGTGCTGTCAACAGGTGTGATCAGCGCAGCCTGTGGCCAGGGAATGAATGTTTATAAACAAATACTTGCGATGATGAAGCTATGTGGCCGCCAATGGCATCGATTAGTGTTGGAAAGTGATATTTTATGGTATTGACTTGATACTGAAAACAGAATGGGAATAACCCGAGAGCAGAATTTCCCAAACCTAAGCCAACCATGTGTCTCCGTTAAAAGGAGCCTCCGTTTATTGGCGTTAACATCATTGTTTGATAAGTTGAATTTTGTCTTTTTATTCTATAATTGAACAATAAAAAATGTATGTGAGGTCATTACTATTCTGTTATGTTATGGATGTTTTATATTGGCTTTGTAATAGGTCCTCGGTGAAACAGTTTGGACAATGCCGAGGCCTATTACAGGGCCAGTATGACAGACCGAGGTCTATTACAGCCTGCCAGGGCCAATAAGACAGACCGAGGTCTATTACAGCCTGCCAGGGCCAATAAGACAGACCGAGGTCTATTACAGCCTGCCAGGGCCAGTATGACAGACCGAGGCCTATTACAGCCTGCCAGGGCCAATAAGACAGACCGAGGTCTATTACAGCCTGCCAGGGCCAGTATGACAGACCGAGACCTATTACAGCCTGCCAGGGCCAATAAGACAGACCGAGGCCTATTACAGCCTGCCAGGGCCAATATGACAGACCGAGGTCTATTACAGCCTGCCAGGGACAATAAGACAGACCGAGGTCTATTACAGCCTGCCAGGGCCAATAAGACAGACCGAAGCCTATTACAGCCTGCCAGGGCCAATAAGACAGACCGAGGCCTATTACAGCCTGTCAGGGCCAGTATGACAGACCGAGGCCTATTACAGCCTGCCAGGGCCAATAAGACAGACCGAGGTCTATTACAGCCTGCCAGGGCCATTATGACAGACCGAGGCCTATTACAGGGCCAGTATGACAGACCGAGGCCTATTACAGCCTGCCATGGCCAGTATGACAGACCGAGGCCTATTACAGCCTGCCAGGGCCAATAAGACAGACCGGGGCCTATTACAGCCTGCCAGGGCCAATAAGACAGACCGAGGTCTATTACAGCCTGCCAGGGCCAATATGACAGACCGAGGTCTATTACAGCCTACCAGGGCCAGTATGACAGACCGAGGCCTATTACAGGGCCAGTATGACAGACCGAGGCCTATTACAGCCTACCAGGGCCAATATGACAGACCGAGGTCTATTACAGCCTACCAGGGCCAATATGACAGACCGAGGTCTATTACAGCCTACCAGGGCCAGTATGACAGACCGAGGTCTATTACAGCCTGCCAGGGCCAATAAGACAGACCGAGGCCTATTACAGCCTGCAAAAGGCCAATATGACAGACCGAGGACTTATCACAAAGCCTATATGAAAACACCCTATCAATGCTATATTTATATCTTGACTAGCTAACCCATGCTTGCTGTAAAAGGTGACTATGCTTGTCGTAAGATGCGACTAACGGGATCGGGTGGTCGGGCTCGCTGACTTGGTTGATGCATGTCATCGATCCCAATTGCGTGGATCGATGTTCATGATGTCAATCACTGGATTGTCTGGTCCAGACGCGATTATTTACAGACTGCCGTCATATAGCTGGAATATTGCTGAGTGCAAACAATCAATGCCAGGCTATTGCTCATAATTCAAAATACTGAGATAAACTAAGAGTTTAACTAGATATCATGTCCAGTTAACACTCATCACATCACAGTCAATCTAGAGATATACACGTCAGTACGACATGGCAGGAACAAAAGGTGTACCTGTTTACTCAAGTCAACACGAGTACATTCTGTGCAACCATGTACATAATAAAATATTTGAATATTATTCATTACTGTTTAGCAAACATTTATCGTCAGTAATGCGAAGGTACGCCATTTCGAACGTATATTTTAAGCGAACATTGATAATTCATGTACGATAAAATAAAACCGACAAAAACATTTTCCATAAGCATAAGACATAACCACTTAAAGCAGAGTCCGTTGTACGATTCCGACCGTATCACGATCATATAGAATAACAGAACTTTTGAGTAAGAATCGTGGTTATGCCGTGAAAGCATAGGTGCCATGTACCCCATGTTGGTCGTAAACGCCCACTTGTGAGAATCATGTGGGTACAAAGTCTGTGCCGTGTGAGTTGTGTAAAATACCCCAATACGTGGATCGCTGGCATGACTGGAGTATTGCTGACTAGGGTGTAAAATATCGTTCCATCACTTGCCAGCAATGATGCTTCTTGATAACATGTCATCAATGTGCAGTTCCACTTGTAAACTTATAGCCAGTATAGAATGTATAGAATGCCCGTTGCACTAAGGACGAAAAGGAGTTACAAATGCACATGTCATTACACACATAAAGTAATGTTATAATAGAAATGAATTGAATACACAATGCCATTTAGAAAGTGGTTAAATGTAAGAAAAAAAGTACTAGAATCTGTACTTTACTAAGGAAGTGTTATCCCAAATATAACATTTGTTACATTTGACCACTTTCTAAATGGCATTGTGTATTCATAGCTTACACTTGTCAGGGGGGTACTCAAAGTATGTGATCTAGACTACCAGTTGTCGGACTTTCATTTTTGTGGAAGCCTCGGTGGCTGAGTGGGTTAGATCGCTGACTATGTGTGCTGGCGATTAGGTGCCTCATCCTGGCAGGTATTGGTTCGAATCCCGGACGGGACTCAACCAAAAATAAAGTACTAGAATCTGTACTTTACTAAGGAAGTGTTATCCCAAATATAACATTTGTTACATTAGAAATGGATTGTTTTGTAAACGCATTATATCAGTATAAGCAAATGTGAAATATTCGAGATCATGTAAGTTTTGACGTTTTGATTCTGCTGGTGATAATTGTATTGATTAAGAGGCACCATTGCACATGTACACTGTGAGTATATGCTGTAATATTATGAACTGACAGTGAGGCGATGGATTGTGTATCGATAATAGATATGTTTCAGCCTTAACTAAAAAGAAACAGATATTTGTTTAATTTTTTTTAAAACTATGAGTCTGATTTCCTTTTAAGGAAAACACCTTGCAACAGGCAATGTCTTTATTTTTTAACAGGCTGGAGCATAATTATTTTTTTACCACCCGTTTTCTGAAGCCGTTATCGTTACCAGTATCTCAACAAGACACCCTTACTGACTTCAAATTAAGTTAATGTATTCTTAAGTAGAATGGACGAATTTTGAAAGAAGACGTTTATTATATAATTTTCATCACTATTTAGCATTGTACTCACAATGGAATCTGTTTCTGCCGATAATCGAGACTGGTTATCTTCAGGCGTTGACGTTATATATATCTATGCGTGGCTGAAATAATTTAAACGGTGATATATAAGTAAATAGTAGAATATATATATATATTCTTTATTCCTCCACAGGAGAGTTACAAACATATAAATACAGTATTTACAAGTGTACGAAAACAGGCATTTTTATGTTAAGTCTATCCCTGCTCACATGTCAGAACATAAAATGTTTCTTCACAAGGTCTTTATATTTCTTCAATTGGAAGAGACCTATGACTGCAGCTTTTGCAAAGTTCTCTACCATCTCTGGACTTGCTGGGATCGGGGGCGTACATGCTAGGAGACAGCAAACTAACTCAATTTCCTGCTTGTTATGAAGAGCCACGCTGACTTCCACTGGACAAGTGTCGACTATGCTACACCACAAACTGTCTCTGAGTTGCTCTGTCTGTGGACATATACACACAACATATACATGGACGAGCAAGTCCTGGTGGGCAAACATACACATGAAAATGTGGTGTTGTAATTAACAAGTCCATCAAACTGCACACTGACCCTATTCCATTCTTTCATTTGAACTGATCATGCGGATTTTAGAAATACCTTAACCAATAAACCTTAATACAGACAAGCGGAATTAATAGCTCATACACCTATTCTCTTAATTTCTGGACGTATAAATGTACCATATATCATTGTCTAAATGTAATCTGATGGACATCTCAAGGTCTGTGTCCGTTCACCTGAGGACATCGGATTTAGCAAGACCACGATGACCTGGCCATGACCTGGCCATGACCTGTTCGCCACGACCTGTTCGCCACATATATTTGACATACTGTGATTTGTTTGTTTGTTTGTTTGTTGTTTAACGCCGCACTCAGCAATATTCCAGCTATATGACGGCGGTCTGTAAAATAATCGAGTCTGGACCAGACAATCCAGTGATTGAAATCATGAGCATCGATCCACGCAATTGGGATACGATGACATGCATCAACCAAGTCAGCGAGCCTGACCACCCGATCCCGTTAGTCGCCTTTTACGACAAGCATAGTCGCCTTTTACGGCAAGCATGGGTTGCTGAAGACCTATTCTACCCCGGATCTTCACGGGTCGACATACTGTGACATACAGATGAGACAGCTTCTTTTACATTCACAAACAGAACTTTCTATTTTTATTGCAATATTTTGTCAACACTATTGAGCAATTTTTTCACTCTCGACATTTTTTCACACTATTTTAGGAGGGAACTTGTCATCGATAAAGCTTGTGAAATAATAGCTCTAATAGATGCTTCATTTTAAAGATATTCTTAAATATTGCTGTAACACGAACCGGATTGAATGAGTTAATATTTCCGATGCGTCGTAGTGATTAGATGATCAATAAGTAAATATAGATATCCGAACCATTTATGGCACATCGACCCCATTTTATCCTTACAATAGCGATGATGATGATGATGATGATGATGATGATGATGATGATGATGATGATGGTGGTGGTGGTGATGATGATGATGATGATGACGATGATGATGATGATGATACCATTTGATAGACATACTTAGAAATAATTACTTTCTACCTCGTTTAAAAAAATAATAGCTGTGCGTAAAGACCATCAGGTTACAGAGGGTGTGGGGCAAAGCGAGATAAGTAATATCTCAGGTCAACCAGGGTCACGAAAGAGTCGGAACTGACCTTTAGAGCAGTGACCATGCCACTCTCCTTACCTTACCAGAACCTACTTTTAGTGTCCCTGTGACAGACAAAGTCTGTTTTATTTGAGCATTTAAAAAAAGGTGATTTATCATATTTCATGTCGGGGAGCCACTCTGGAATGTGTTATTGTATTCGGAGTCACAGTTCCCTGTATAAAAGAAGTGCAGTTTACATTGCAAATCAGTATCGCTCTGAAGTCCTTACCTGCTCAGATCATCACCACCCGACACAATGGTTGCTATTGTGGCTGCTTGTTTCATATTCGCCTTCACTGGAACTGCCTACGCTGCAAGTAAGTCCTTCCTAGTACAGTAAACTACGGTTATAACGAACACGCTTATAACGAACTGACGGATATAACGAACTTACTTTTTGGTCCCGACTATTTGCTGTAGTTATACTGTGTATATGCTTATAACGAACTACTAACGAAAATAAGTAGTCCCTTTGAGTTCGTTATAACCGTACTTTACTGTAACTGTTTCTTCACAATGTGATTATAGTGCATATTCACGTCATTGTTATTCATATAAAATTATTTATTTCGAAAATTTATTATCACACATGGTCAAATATGTTACAAAATATATTACTTCAAGTTCACGCCTATAGAGGTATTTTATATTAGAATAAGATTTATGTTTTGGGGCATACAACTGATATTTGATAATTGGATAAATATATTAATCGGTACATGTAGTTCATAAGTATAGAGGCGGGTGGTCTAATGTTCTTAGGTGAAGCAATACGCAGTATAGAGTTACGTTCCTTAGGCGTGCATCGTTCAGTTGATCGTCAATTCGAACTCATTTTATCATAACATATCATTTCCAGCTTAGCATATTTTATAGTTTCTAGTTCTTCATCATATTCTACAGGGAAAAATCATAACCATGATATGCGATGTATTAGAGTATAGAGATCTTGATAACAATGCTGCCATTTGATTACCATTCAAGCAGTGTCTTTACAAAATATTCAAGATACATTAACATTAGGGGGCACGGGTGGCCCAGTCGTCTAAGGGGCCGCGATTCGCTGTGCAGAGTTGCGTCCCTTAGGCCCGCCAGAAACCTATGATTGTGGGTTCGAATCCCGGTTCGCCCCGATTATGTTTCTAGGTTTGTCAGCACCATACCCGTGCTCGTGGGCTTCACCGAAGTGGTAAACGTCTGAGACCTGCATCACTTCGGGCTTTCCTCCCACATTAAGCTGGCACGCCGCGATATAACTGGAATACTGTTAAAAGCGGCGTTAAACCTAACTTACTCATTCACTCACTCATTAACATTAATCGTAGAATTACCTTGTAAAAACATGTCTACTACTATACTCGTATCTTAAAGGCAATAACTGTGGTCGCTTCTACTATAAGAGTGAGTATTCTCTCGCCTGCCAAATGAAAAAGATGAGTATCCTAGCATCTAATGGTCCGACAGTATTGATAATTATTTATAAGTGTATATGTCCCATCCAGAAAGTTCCATGATCAGTGAGTATACGCTCGCATACAGCAATAGAGGTAAGGTGAAATTGGGTCTAACGTCGCCTTGAAGATTATTGCACTCATATAGCGACGTGTGTGTGTGTGTGGCTGCTTGTACTAGTCCGGACTGATGCCGATTTATAGTGATAGCCCACTGAGATACCATGCCGCAGTTTCACACGAATACCCCACTCAGACACAGTATACTGACTCCGAGCCGACCAGTCCTTGTGTTAGGCCCTTAATGCCGAGCGCCAGACAAGGTAACAACAAGTTCCATATTTTAACGTATTTTGGTATGACGCGGCCTGGGATCGAACCCCGAACCTTCCGCTCTCCGGGAAGACGCTCTACCACTAGACCACGGAGACGGTTACAGAAATAGAAAGACACAGGGAAAATATGTTAAGACTGCAATAGTATGAGAAACTATGTCAAGCAACATAGAAAATGGACCATATTAATATGATTTTGACATTTTTTGCGTTTCAGCATTAGATCAGTGAATATATATTTCGGCCACAATATTGGACATGATCGGAGAGTATACGTGTGTATACAGTTCTACAAGTGAACGGAACTTTAAATGTACAATATTAGAAGTGACCAGTATACACACTCTCCAATATAAGGAATGAACAGTGTGAAAAACGAATCAGAAAGGATCAGTGGTTATATTTAAGGGGTATGTACCATGTCCTACTTGACAAGCATACACACTTTCTAATGTTGTTATTCCAGCTCCCACCAACTGCACAATCTCTGGCTGTGGTTTCGGAGGCAAGTGTATCGATAATGTTGCTGGCACTGCGTCCACGTGCGTCTGCTACCAAGGATTTGAAATCAGTTTACAGACTTTCGAGTGTATAGGTCAGTACCTTTAAGCGTATGGCGTTAATTCGCAAACATGCGTCGTTCAATGAACGAATAATTGTCCCTTTTCGTTTCCATTTATTCTGTGTCAGATCAAAAGAATTGAATTTGGTAACTAGATAACGAATGTTACATAAACATTATCATGATGAGGATTATTGTTACATCATATTGTCATAATGGATGGAATGAAAAATTAATTATCTCGAATTAATTAATATCAGGGAGAATTCTAGTTCTTTTACGTCTAACTATCTATATACACATATGATTCCGATAATATGTTTAACGTGTGGATAGTGGCTAAATAAGCTTTAAATATGCACTCTCCAAACATTATTATTTCAAATATGTACACCATTTGGTTTGTTGCAGACATCAATGAATGTAATTACACGAGTGCTGCCCTGTGTCGCAATGGCTACTGTTACAACATGTACGGTGACTACAAATGTAACTGTTATCCAGGATTCATACCCCATTTCCCTGACGGAAAGACATGTGTTCGAAGTAAGTCTTGGAGGAATCTCGACTGGTGGTGGTAGACTTTACTAAGGCTTTACCGCATGATGCACGATGTGTGAAGATCCGGGTTAGAATTGATCTTCAGCAACCCTTCCTTGGCGGAAGAGGCGACGAACGGGATCGGTGGTCAGGCTCGGTGATTCGGTTAAAGCATGTCATCGTATGCCATTTGAGCAGACCCGTGAAGATCCGGGTTAGAATAGGTCTCCAGCAACCCATGCTTGCCGTAAAAGGCGACTATGCTTATCGTAATAGGCGACTAACGGGATCGGGTGGTCAGGCTCGCTGACTTGGTTGATGCATGTCATCGTATCCCAATTGCGTGGATCGATGCGCATGATGTCAAATCACTGGATTGTCTGGTCCAGACTCGATTATTCACTGACCGACGTCATATAGCTGGTATATTGCCGAGTGCGGCGTTAAACAACCTACCAACCAACTTGTGTCGTGGGTATTGCACCACGACGTACATCAATAATTACATTCAATAATTATCATCCTTCACATTGCAAATCGCTTACATTTGTATTCTTAATGAAACCATTTAATGTATGTTTCAGGACGAATCCCCATCCCCATCCCAAACAACAACAACAACAACAACAACATCTTCAATAGCATCCCAACCTGGTTATGGCCTTTTCTCTTGAGGGGAGAAATGTAAGATGAAGATCCCTCCCAACACTGCTGCAGTTAATTAATCATGTTGAAGTATACGGGCCATACCAACAAAAAGAAGCACGTCTATCAATCGGGCGTTATAAACAAATGTAATACATGTTAATAAAAATTTTAAACAAGATTTATTGTCATCATTAGTTTCTACTGTCCTGAGATCTGGGCATCATTCGTCACCATCTGCTGAGTGAGTGAGTGAGTATGGACATATTACATCAATATCACGTAGGGGACACTGGAAATGGACTTTTCACATTGTAACCATGAGGGAAATCAAACCGGCGCCTTCGGCGTGACGAGCTACCCCCACCGCTCCAACCATCTGTTGAAGACCATCTGCTTTTTGTTATCAGTACAGAAGCTCTGTTCGACATAACGTTTTGTTTATTAGTGATGCTCTAAACCTTTATTATGCCACAATGATTGAAATACTAAAATTCAACATCGAGAGTCAGTGTACTCTCTCTATTTAAAAAATGATACAGCGTATTTGAAGGAGAAATACAATTTAAAAGATTTTTAAAATCCAACAAAAAGTAACTGTTACATTTCGGAATTATAATTAATCAGTTTCATCGTATAGAGTCTTGATTCTGATAGGTGCAAATAGATCCTTTTACTGTTACAGTAATAATATTACAGTAAATATGATTAAATATTGCAGTAGTGGGTAGTGGGTGACCTCGCCTAGTTAAACACTACTGTCCGACTGTCGTTCATTTCCCGATGAACGTGATAACGTTGTCAATCGAGGTGAGACACACAGAACTACTTTCGGGGGATTCCTCAATGTCTAAAAATAACATCATTATATAAATAAAACATTTTGGGAAAACTGAGAGCGACATCGATTCAGGCTTTGAATGACACAGGCTTTGAAGTCAGACAGATCATGTATATGAAATGAAGCGTCCATTCGAAGCTACAACTGAGAGTGTTCGACTTACCAAAAGAGTTCCACACCCTGTCGTGTATTGCTTCGGGTAACCCAACCGCACCGCCTCAAGCGGTAATCCCCGTCATCAGTAGCCGTAGTATGACTCAAACACACCCTCAAAGTTCACAGAACGTAAATATCAATCCATTCTCAGTATCAGCTGGGTCTGGATTTCTTTCCAACGCTAACTTTACTGGGTGCAACTTTTATTTCAAGCGAATGACATTGCCGAAGCCGCCATTTTCTGCCGTTTACAAAACCAAGGGATGTCACTCAAAATGGAATTTTTGGGACGGATGACGTCACGAAGCCACGAAGCCACGACTCGCCGCGTTGATATAGTTCGCTTTCAATAAGTAAAGTTTGATGTTTTATGGGTTTTTTTGTTATGATTTATGTATCTGTCAATATATGGCTTGAAGTACAACTTCAATCCCCATAAACAACACCCGTAAACCGTAACATAAATAAGTACGACATCAGGTGGAGATTGTAATCTGCAAGCGTCTATACTGAACCGCAAACGAAGGTCACCATGGATAGATATATGAGAAACCTTATTTGTCCAAACACTGCAATCATACTTTGAGGCATATTAAAAAGGTGAAACTTGGCAAAACTGATCACCAAGGTTGAAATTAAAGTGTCATATGTTCTTAAATTGAAAGACAACACTAGTCTGAAAAATGGCATCACAAGTCAGTAACTAGTGTGTCCGCAATGTGCATTGATGACTGCCGTGCAACGTCGATTCATGGAATGGATGAGGTGGTTGATGAAGGCCATGGACACTTGAGCCCACACTCTGATGAACACCTCACGCAGTTCAGCTGCAGCTGTCGGCCTTGGTCGGACGTCATTCAGCCGTCTTTTAATCTCATCCCACAGGTGCTCAATGGGATTTAAATCGGGACTGAGGGCAGGCCACTGCATGGTTCTGATGTCATTCTGCTGTAGGAAGTCTCTTGTTCTTCTCGCAGTGTGGGCACGGGCGTTATCATGCTAAAACTCGTGGTTTTGGCGACGTGCCAAATGAGGTATGGCGTGTAGTCTCAAGACTTGATCAATGTTCCGAGCTGCTGTGACACCATTGCCTCTTCCTGGACCGATGTTCTGCAAGACCACAGGGCCGACCCTCTGTGCAAGACCAATTCCACCCCACACCATGATGCTCGGACCACCCCACGAGTCTCTCTCAACAAACACAAGCATCCGAATAACGTTCCCCACGGCGTCGCCAGACTCTCACTCTGCCATCTGCTGTTGAGATACAGTAACGGTTCTCGTCTGAGAAGAGGACTCTTCTCCATTGCGGGCGGCGCCAATGCTGGTGATGTGTTGCCCACTGAAGACGGTCCCGGCGATGATGTTGTGTTAGAATGGGTCCTCGGTGTGGCCTGTGACAGCGGAGGTGTCTACTCGTCAATCGTCGACGCATGGTGTCCGCACTGATGTGTTGTTGTAGTGTCCCCATGGTCTGTCGAGCACTTTCCGCAGCAGTAACAAAGCGATCTTGAAGATGCTGTTGCACAATCAGACGATCCTGACGTCGGGTGGTGACCCTTGGTCTTCCACTACGTGGTCAGTCATCTGTAGAGTTGGTGGTCTGGTACCGTTGCTGGAGCCTGTATATGGTCCTTACGTGGACTTGAAATGCATTGGCTACTTGTCGGGCGGTTTGTCCAGCTTGCAATCGTCCACGGGCTTGGTGTGGCTGACTTCTTGTCAATCTTGGCATGTGGTAGCAATTCAATAACGAATGAGTGTTATCCGATCTGGGTGGATTTTTATAGGGCAAGAAATGGGGGAACGCATGTGCATTTCAATTTGCACGGAACTCACGTGCATCGGGTTACCATGGCCGTTGCCGTGATACGTTTGGTCGATCTGTTTTATTGTCATCTGCTTTGATTTTTTATCATCAAATTTCATTTTCCCGACGAGGTAATGTTAAATTTTATAAACTTTGACAAAAATTACCCAGATATTTAAATGACAACTTTTCATGCAATGTTAGTTGAGGTGACGTTTTTTGCGGTTCAGTATATAATGGGGTTCGTTTTCGCAATTTGTTTATTATTTACCGGTACTTCCTGGGATCGGGGAATTAGTATCTCCCTTGATGATCGTCTCTGTTTATCGCCGTTTATATCTGTATATCCGTTCTTTTCTGTATATCCGTTCATTTCTGTACATCCGTTTGTCTCCCTTCCACTCCCAAAATATCGTTCATTTCCGTTTATCTCTGTTTATCTCCGTTGATATCCTTTATCTCCGTTTATTTCTGTTTACATACGTTGATATCCTTTTTTCTCCGTTCATCTGTTTATATCTGTTGATATCCTTTTCCCGTTTATCTCATTTATCTCCATTTATCTCTGTTTATATCCGTTTATATCCGTTGATATTCTTTTTCCGTTTCTCTCTGTCTATCCTGTTGATATCCTTTATCTCCCGTTTATATCCGTTCATATCCCTTTATCTGCCTTCATCTATATTAATATCGCTTTATCTCCCTTCTACAACCCCCTTTATATCGTTAATCTCTGTTTATATCCGCTAATAGATTTTTATGATGGAGGTGGGGTAACCTGGAGGTTAAAGCGTTCGCTCGTCACGCCGAAGACCCGGGTTCGATTCCCGATATGGGAACAGAGTGTGAAGCCCATTTCTGGTGATCCCCGCCGTGATGTTGCTGGAATATTGCTAAAAGCGCCGTAAAACCAAAGTCACTCACTTACTGACTCACTCAAAATATAAAATGAAACAGACTACATTTCACAAAGTGATCGCCGGCAAAACCACAAAATGGGTGTCACGCCGATTACCCAGGTTCGATTCCCGACATGGGTACAATGTGTGAAGCCCATTTCTGGTGGCCCCCGCCATGATATTGCTGAAATATTGCTAAAAGCGGCGTAAAACCATACTTACTTACACTTTCTTTCTTATCACTTCTTTACTTATTTATTTATTTATTTACTTACTTATTTACTTCCTTACTTTATTTATATGAGCGTGTGTTCATATGCGTGTTTTAGTGTTAACTCTAAACTGCTGAAATATTGTGTATTGTTTTTTTGTATATTGCTGTTTAAGTAATATCTCAGACGTATAAACCAAGTTTCCCACGGGATAATAAAAAATGATCTTTTCTTTATCTTACGGTGTTCTAATGGGACGAGGGAAGTCGAGCCGAGTGGTCTACAGACCAACACGAGTAACGCCCCTTGTTGAATCTCTATTAACCTAAGCGTCTGGTATCAGTGAGCATTCACACAGATCCGCCTCGCCTCTGAGAACTGCTTGTGAAGGGATTCAGCTTGTCACAGTACATTTTTAACAAGGGACGTTACTCGAGTAGGTCCAAACGTTTGCTACGTATGTTTATCTGTATCATTATTCCCAATATCTAAAAAATGGATTTCGGTGTGACGACATGTGTGTATCCATTACATAAAATGTTACGCAACATCTGTTATCGTCTCACTGTTTAACTTTAAATAAACTTTGAGAGTTTACCGCATGTCATTACGCTTGAAGGCCTCGTCCGTTGTGACCTATTTCCCACGCACAAACGTGGCCAGGCGGCAGCCATTGCCTCTTATATTTGTTACAAGTAAATGACGATCACAAGTTAATTTTCAATTCATTTTAATAACCCATGAGATACAAGACATAGTTATGGGCGTGTATGTCAGAGACACTCAAATATACAAAGCGTCATGGTCTTTCAGATTGCTTTATCAATTCATATACTTGACTAAAGAGTTCCAAGTTATATTTACCAGGTGTTCGTGAAAGGGTGAGTCATAACATATTCTTATGAGGAAAAAAATATTTTTAAAATAAAATTGAATTAGTGTAGAAAAAGCGCGGCATAATATAACCTGACGTGGGGCTAATTTTACACAACGCATTTGCATGCGTTTTTAGGTCAAAGCATGCAATTCCAACCTGAAGGATGGACAGTATATATTATTCACAATGTATCAAGAATACTTACATTCATTTATGTTCAAGGATAGTAGAAGAATTTTGTGAACGGTACTATTACGAACTGATCATGCTCTTTCTAAAACCTGCCATCTGAGCATAACTAATTTTCAGTAATTCATTCATATAATTGTCACCGCTATTGTGCGTTCAACGCCTAATGAAACGTTTCTCGGCAGATAATCGAGACTGACGTTTTATATGTCATCAATATTCTAGTTTGCTTGTTCTAGTCCAGGTATATTGTTCCTGTAGTGTTATGCAAGTTCTTCCTACATGCTACGAAAGTCATAATGAGCCAACACATTCACAACATATCATAGTTTTGAAACGTCAGTGGCTGCTAAGTCCCTATTTGGATGTGCACTGACATGCACATGTTCATCACCATAACCGAAGAGTGTACTTAAACGAAAAGTAACATATATTAATAGTAGATTAACATTGGAAGAAACAAAATTGTAGGTGAACTGCCTGTACAGAGTATTGTGACGTGGACATATTCTGGGAGAAACGGGAAAGCCCATCTCTTGGTATTTATAGATGGGGAATGCCCACACTTTATTTAGAACATTGTATAACTATTGTGTCCTCGCACGTCAGTGTCGCAACTGCGGTCGTTGTCGGCTCAAGTACTACAGAGAGGCGTTCCAGGTACCTTTCTGTGTACACAATTTAATGCCTTGCAGCATTTACGGCGCTGAAGTGAGCACTGTGCAAACAACATACTTACAACAAAATGAACACGCCACTGAATTTACGTCACAGCCAAACTCAACCGGTTTCATTGATCGTGAAAGTAGGCAGTGCTCTCTCGATATACTGCAAGGCTAGGATATATCGGGGTATAAACAAAGATACCTGGTGTCCTATGTAATTGTCGGATACATTTTCTTGATATATTTTACTCCTGTGATTGAACAATTTTGCTGACTGCAAGTGAAGGTGAGCAACTGAGCCACCTAACTAACTTATATGCATAAAATTATATAATGATGTCTGATGCAATAATAATTCATTTTGAACTCCCGAATACCTGGCATCATCACTATTTGATACTGATCTATAACCATTTACTGATGACGTAGAGTCAGTTCAGTTGTCCCTGCGTGTAGCAGAGATTCGTATGATTATGAAAAGAGTGAAGCGTTTATTTAAATTATTGATACTCTGAGTGAATTTATATTATTCGTTTCAGAATGCGAATCTTGCAGTCGAACAGAAGAAAAGTACAAAAATATATATGGTTATTTAACCGTACTGTTAATACATGTATGTAGGGCCACTATAACCAACAAGAAAACACCGGAAAAAGAGGAGGCACTGCATCAGCTCGCAAAAGCAGCAAACGCTTTGCTAAATGCGGACGGTGGAAAGCTTTTGATACACGTTGACGGTCAGCAGAAATGGGACAGAGACTTGGAAGTACTTGATGAAGCTATTGGGAAAAGATTTTCTACTCTTCTTCATGATGGTTGTCAATACTGTGACTATTTTTCACGGGAATGGTTGTCGAATGTCGAGACGTTTGAATATGCGGATGACTTTCTGTTATTCGGAATTGCCAAAATAAATGGTGTATCGACTTTAGATAGTAAAACCAAGATGCGAAATGACTTTGAAAATGTAAATGCTCCATGTGCTGTCATCGCTACAATACTGAATGTTGTGGAGATGATGAAACGCAACACCCTTCAAACATAGTTCCATACACCGGTATTGACGATATACCACTGCATGAAGACAGAGCGACAGAATTGAAATCGTTTCCACCACAGGCAGCAGGTGCAACAGTTGAAAGTGTAACTAACTGCATTTGGAATGATTTGAAACTGAAACACCATATCACTTCAATGGCAAAGCTTCCGAGAGGTGGGAGATTCTGTATCGGCATCTCATAGACACCCTATCCAGGAGATTATAAAACTAAGACACGGCAAATAAATGGATTTCATCTCCGCGTCGACATAAATGAATTGATACAAAGTCTAGACAATAAATTGAAAACGGACATGTTAGTTTTAACTGGCAGAGGAGCATTTAGGGAAGCACCTTCAGATTTGATAGCGGTACATGTATATCCAATTCAGGGTACAAACAAATGTGTACTTAGTGTTAACATAAACTATTTTAATGGTATTGTGTTCCATGATAGGGCAGGACCAGAAGTTTACACATTCAAAAATGGAGAAATGTGTCTCATGTCCAATGACATTTGGTTACAAAGACTGCTGTCGTTTTCTCGTCAACCAATAAGCACGCGTGGGTTGACGCACCGATCGCCAAATCATCGCCTATCTGGCAATATTGGTTCTTGTGCTCGTCACACAACACTGACAGGTACTTTAACCTTTACTACAGTTATTATTTCCCAAAACCGTCGCATGATATTGCATTATGGACCGGCCAGTATGGGTTCCTGGGACCTATTGTTTAGAAAGAATATTTGCCCAGTCTCTGAAAGAAAGAGCTCCACAATACACATTATTTTCAGAACATCTTACCATTTGTTTTGTTTTGTATTTATGTGGCCAACATTTCCAGGTATAGATATATTTTTCAAAACACAAACCCTTATAATGTTAATATCATCGATGTTGATGACTCGCAGGCGCCCTTTTATTTATATTCCAAAACATTTTAATCATTATGAATCGAAATATTTGTGTACACGTTTGTTGACATTTAACAACAAAACAAACAGCAAAACTCGTAATCAAGACTCCACCAAGGAAGGTTAAATTCTAGTCATTACTATTTATGTAAATATGAAAATGAGATTTATTTCTTTATTTTCCCAAGAAAACATCTATGAGTTTAATCACGTCTGTCTGTCAACTGGCTTATACATTGTGTTGTCAGAAAACACTTTCATTTAATGTGTCGAGAGTTCATATCGTGATCCTTTTAACTCATATATTTCAGATAACGGACAGGGTAATCCCACTGATGTTGTCAAACTGGTACTCCTGGGGGTAACAGGATCCGGTAAAAGTGTCACTGGTAACAACATCCTCAACAGAGAGATTTTCAACAAAGGTGTTTCTAGCAAGTCACAAACACGTCAATGTCAGAGAGGTGAGGCCAAAAGAAATGGGCGCGAGATTCAAATTATTGACACACCTGGCATGTTTGACACCAATATGACGATAGGGGAAATTGCCAGAGAGGTGGCCACGTGTGTTTGGATGACGATTCCGGGTATTCATGCTTTTGTCCTTGTGATCAAGGTCGACCGCTTCACCTTTTCAGATGAAACTGCTGTGGAATCCTTTTTACAAATATTTGGAGACGCCATGATGGACTATCTGATAATCCTATTTACAAGGAAGGATGACTTGATTCACGAAAATCTCACCATTGAAGAATTTATTCAAAAAGTACCAGATAAGCTGAAGGCTCTACTCCTAGCATGTAAAAGCAGATTTGTGTGTTTCAACAATAGGGCACAGTCTGAGAATGAGCGGGATCAAGATGTGCAATCATTACTCAATGTAGTTGATAAAATGGTATCTGCCAATGGAGGAAAATGCTACAGTAACTGGATGTATGTTTCCGCGGAGAGGATTATGAAGGACAGTGAGGAAAAGTTGAAACTGGAGCAGATGATGGAGGTTAAGAAAATGAAAGATTCCATCAGGCGAAAGTGGAAGGAAAAACACGAAAAGGCTAAAGCTGAGACATCTGAAATTGTAGCCCAACTTCAACAGAGACTACAAGACTTGAAACAGAAAAGTTCAGATGATGCTATGGAAACATCAGAAATACACACACTGAAACAAGAGATTCTGGATTATAAAAGAATGGTAAGATTACACCAAAGAGAGTATGAGGAGGAATGTTTGCAACGAGAACAAGAGTTAGAAAATACTATGTATTTGAAGTTCAGAGAAACATTCCGAGAAGAAATGGTAAAAGGGGCAAAGATCAATATTCGTGATCTGGAAACTGCATTAGAAATGTTTGCAACTGAGGTAACGGGTATGTTATCTACCATGCTCGGGGTGAACCTCGAGCTACCAAGGATTTGAAATCAGTTTACAGACTTTCGAGTGTATAGGTCAGTACCTTTAAGCGTTTGGCGTTAATTCGCAAACATGCGTCGTTTAATGAACGAATAATTGTCCCTTTTCGTTTCCATTTATTCTTTGTCAGATCAAAAGAATTGAATTTGGTAACTAGATAACGAAAATTACATAAACATTATCATGATGGGGATTATTGTAACATCATATTGTCATAATGGATGGAATGAAAAATTAATTATCTCGAATTGATTAATATCAGGAAGAATGCTAGTTCTTCGCGTCTAACTATCTATATACACATATGATTCCGATAATATGTTTAACGTGTGGAGAGTGGCCAAATAAGCTTTAAAAATGCACACTCCAAACATTATCATTTCAAATATGTACACCATTTGGTTTGTTGCAGACATCAATGAATGTAATTACACGAGTGCTGCCCTGTGTCGCAATGGCTACTGTTACAACATGTACGGTGACTACAAATGTAACTGTTATCCAGGATTCATACCCCATTTCCCTGACGGAAAGACATGTGTTCGAAGTAAGTCTTGGAGGAATCTCGACTGGTGGTGGTAGACTTTACTAAGGCTTTACCGCATGATGCATGATGTGTGAAGATCCGGGTTAGAATTGATCTTCAGCAACCCTTCCTTGGCGGAAGAGGCGACGAACGGGATCGGTGGTCAGGCTCGGTGATTCGGTTAAAGCATGTCATCGTATGCCATTTGAGTAGACCCGTGAAGATCCGGGGTAGAATTGATCTTCAGCAACCCTTCCTTGGCGGAAGAGGCGACGAACGGGATCGGTGGTCAGGCTCGGTGATTCGGTTAAAGCATGTCATCGTATGCCATTTGAGTAGACCCGTGAAGATCCGGGGTAGAATAGGTCTCCAGCAACCCATGCTTGCCGTAAAAGGCGACTATGCTTATCGTAATAGGCGACTAACGGGATCGGGTGGTCAGGCTCGCTGACTTGGTTGATGCATGTCATCGTATCCCAATTGCGTGGATCGATGCTCATGATGCCAAATCACTGGATTGTCTGGTCCAGACTCGATTATTCACTGACCGCCGTCATATAGCTGGTATATTGCTGAGTGCGGCGTTAAACAACCAACCAACCAACTTGTGTCGTGGGTATTGCACCACGACGTACATCAATAATTACATTCAATAATTATCATCCTTCACATTGCAAATCGCTTACATTTGTATTCTTAATGAAACCATTTAATGTATGTTTCAGGACGAATCCCCATCCCCATCCCAAACAACAACAACAACAACAACAACATCTTCAATAGCATCCCAACCTGGTTATGGCCTTTTCTCTTGAGGGGAGAAATGTAAGATGAAGATCCCTCCCAACACTGCTGCAGTTAATTAATCATGTTGAAGTATACGGGCCATACCACAAAAAGAAGCACGTCTATCAATCGGGCGTTATAAACAAATGTAATACATGTTAATAAAACTTTTAAACAAGATTTATAGTCATCATTAGTTTCTACTGTCCTGAGATCTGGGCATCATTCGTCACCATCTGCTGAGTGAGTGAGTGAGTATGGACATATTACATCAATATCACGTAGGGGACACTGGAAATGTACTTTTCACATTGTAACCATGAGGGGAATCAAACCGGCGCCTTCGGCGTGACGAGCTACCCCCACCACTCCAACCATCTGTTGAAGACCATCTGCTTTTTGTTATCAGTACAGAAGCTCTGTTCGACATAACGTTTTGTTTATCAGTGATGCTCTAAACCTTTATTATGCCACAATGATTGAAATACTATAATTCAACATCGAGAGTCAGTGTACTCTCTCTATTTAAAAAATGATACAGCGTATTTGAAGGAGAAATACAATTTAAAGGATTTTAAAATCCAATAAAAAGTAACTGTTACATTTCGGAATAATAATTAATCAGTTTCATTGTATAGAGTCTTGGTTCTGATAGGTGCAAATAGATCCTTTTACTGTAATAATATTACAGTAAATATGATTAAATATTGCAGTAGTGGGTAGTGGGTGACCTCGCCTAGTTGAAAACTACTGTCTGACTGTCGTTCATTTCCCGATGAACGTGATAACGTTGTCAATCGAGGTGAGACACACAGAACTACTTTAGGGGGATTCCTCAATGTCTAAAAATAACATCATTATATAAATAAATCATTTGGGGAAAACTGAGAGCGACATCGATTCAGGCTTTGAATGACACAGGCTTTGAAGTCAGACAGATCATGTATACGAAATGAAGCGTCCTTCGAAGCTACAACTGAGAATGTTCGACTTACCAAAAGAGTTCCACACCCTGTCGTGTATTGCTTCGGGTAACCCAACCGCACCGCCTCAAGCGGTAATCTCCGTCATCAGTAGCCGTAGTATGACTCAAACACACCCTCAAGGTTCACAGAACGTAAATATCAATCCATTCTCAGTATCAGCTGGGTCTGGATTTCTTTCCAACGCTAACTTTACTGGGTGCAACTTTTATTTCAAGCGAATGACATTGCCGAAGCCGCCATTTTTTGCCGTTTATAAAACCAAGGGATGTCACTCAAAATGGAGTGTTTGGGACGGATGACGTCATGAAGCCACGACTCGCCGCGTTGATATAGTTCGCTTTCAATAATTAAAGTTTGATGTTTTATGGGTTTTTTTGTTATGATTTATGTATCTGTCAATATATGGCTTGAAGTACAACTTCAATCCCCATAAACAACCCCCGTAAACCGTAACATAAATAAGTACGACATCAGGTGGAGATTGTAATCTGCAAGCGTCTATACTGAACCGCAAACGATGGTCACCATGGATAGATATATGAGAAACCTTATTTGTCCAAACACTGCAATCATACTTTGAGGCATATTAAAAAGGTGAAACTTGGCAAAACTGATCACCAAGGTTGAAATTAAAGTGTCATATGTTCTTAAATTGAAAGACAACACTAGTCTGAAAAATGGCATCACAAGTCAGTAACTAGTGTGTCCGCCATGTGCATTGATGACTGCCGTGCAACGTCGATTCATGGAATGGATGAGGTGGTTGATGAAGGCCATAGACACTTGAGCCCACACTCTGATGAACACCTGACGCAGTTCAGCTGCAGCTGTCGGCCTTGGTCGGACGTCATTCAGCCGTCTTTTAATCTCATCCCACAGGTGCTCAATGGGATTTAAATCGGGACTGAGGGCAGGCCACTGCATGGTTCTGATGTCATTCTGCTGTAGGAAGTCTCTTGTTCTTCTCGCAGTGTGGGCACGGGCGTTATCATGCTAAAACTCGTGGTTTTGGCGACGTGCCAAATGAGGTATGGCGTGTAGTCTCAAGACTTGATCAATGTTCCGAGCTGCTGTGACACCATTGCCTCTTCCTGGACCGATGTTCTGCAAGACCACAGGGCCGACCCTCTGTGCAAGACCAATACCACCCCACACCATGATGCTCGGACCACCCCACGAGTCTCTCTCAACAAACACAAGCATCCGAATAACGTTCCCCACGGCGTCGCCAGACTCTCACTCTGCCATCTGCTGTTGAGATACAGTAACGGTTCTCGTCTGAGAAGAGGACTCTTCTCCATTGCTGGCGGCGCCAATGCTGGTGATGTGTTGCCCACTGAAGACGGTCCCGGCGATGATGTTGTGTCAGAATGGGTCCTCGGTGTGGCCTGTGACAGCGGAGGTGTCTACTCGTTAAACGTCGACGCATGGTGTCCGCACTGATGTGTTGTTGTAGTGTCCCCATGGTCTGTCGAGCACTTTCCGCAGCAGTAACAAAGCGATCTTGAAGATGCTGTTGCACAATCAGACGATCCTGACGTCGGGTGGTGACCCTTGGTCTTCCACTACATGGTCGGTCATCTGTAGAGTTGGTGGTCTGGTACCGTTGCTGGAGCCTGTATATGGTCCTTACGTGGACTTGAAATCCATTGGCTACTTGTCGGGCGGTTTGTCCAGCTTGCAATCGTCCAAGGGCTTGGTGTGGCTGATTTGTTGTCAATCTTGGCATGTGGTAGCAATTCAATAACGAATGAGTGTTATCCGATCTGGGTGGATTTTTATAGGGCAAGAAATGGGGGAACGCATGTGCATTTCAATTTGCACGGAACTCACGTGCATCGGGTTACCATGGCCGTTGCCGTGAAACGTTTGGTCGATCTGTTTTATTGTCACCTGCTTTGGTTTTTTTATCATCAAATTTCATTTTCCCGACGAGGTAATGTTAAATTCCAGAAACTTTGACAAAAATTACTCAGATATTTAAATGACAACTTTTCATGCAATGTTAGTTGGGGTGACGGGTTTTTTTTGCGGTTCAGTATATAATGTGGTTCGTTTTCGCAATTTGTTTATTATTTACCGGTACATCAGTGAATCAGTATCTCCCTTGATGAGCATCTCTGTTTATTGTCGTTTATATCTGTATATCCGTTCTTTTCTGTATATCCGTTCATTTCTGTATATCCGTTTGTCTCCCTTCAACTCCCAAAATATCGTTCATTTCCGTGTCTCTGTTTATCTCCGTTTATCTATGTTTATATCCGTTGATATCCTTTTTCGTTTATCTGTTTATCTTCATTTATCTCTGTTTATATCCGTTTATCTCTGTTTATATCCGTTGATATCCTTTTTCCGTTTATCTCTGTTTATTCTGTTGATATCCTTTATCTCCCGTTTATATCCGTTCATCTCCCTTTATCTGCCGTCATCTATATTAATATCCCTTTATCTCCCTTCTACAACCCCCTTTATATCGTTAATCTCTGTTTATATCCTCTAATATATTTTTATGATGGAGGTGGGGTAACCTGGAGGTAAAAGCGTTCGCTCGTCACGCCGAAGACCCGGGTTCGATTCCCGACATGGGAACAGAGTGTGAAGCCCATTTCTTGTGTCCCCGCCGTGATGTTGCTGGAATATTGCTAAAAGCGCCATAAAACCAAAGTCACTCACTCACTCACTCAAAATATGTAATGAAACAGGCTACATTTCACTAAGTGATCGCCGGCAAAACCACAAAATGGGTGTCACGCCGAATATCCAGGTTCGATTCCCGACATGGGTACAATGTGTGAAGCCCATTTCTGGTGGCCCCCGCCGTGATATTGCTGAAATATTGCTAAAAGCGGCGTAAAACCATACTTACTTACACTTTCTTTCTTATCACTTCTTTACTTATTTATTTATTTCTTTACTTACTTATTTACTTCCTTACTTTATTCATATGAGCGTGTGTTCATATGCGTGTGTTAGTGTTAACCCTTAACTGCTGAAATATTGTGTATTGTTTTTTTGTATATTGCTGTTTAAGTAATATCTCAGACGCTATAAACCAAGTTCCCCACGGGATAATAAAAAATGATCTTTTCGTTATCATACGGTGTTCTAATGGGACGAGGGGAGTCGAGCCGAATGGTCTACAGACCAACACGAGTAACGCCCCTTGTTGGATCTATTAACCTAAGCGTCTGGTATCAGTGAGCATTCACACAGATCCGCCTCGCCTCTGAGAACTGCTTGTGAAGGAATTCAGCTTGTCACAGTACATTTTTAACAAGGGACGTTACTCGAGTAGGTCTAAACGTTTGCTACGTATGTTTATCTGTATCGTTATTCCCAATATCTAAAAAATGGATTCCGGTGTGACGACATGTGTGTATCCATTACATACAATGTGACGCAACATCTGTCATCGTCTCACTGTTTAACTTTAAATAAACTTTGAGAGTTTACAGCATGTCATTACGCATGAAGGCCTCGACCGTTATGACCTATTTCCCACGCACAAACATACTCGTCCAGGCGGCATCCGTTGATTTTTACAAGTAAATGACGATCACAAGTTGATATTCAATTCATTTTATATGAGACATATGGGACACAAGTCTAGGGCGTGTATGTCAGAGATACTCAAATATACAAAATGTCATGGTCTTTCAGATTGCTTTATCAATTCATGTACTTGACTAAAGAGTTCCAAGTTATATTTACCAGGTGTTCGTGAAAGGGTGAGTCATAACATATTCTGACGAGGAAGAAATTATTTAAAAAAACCCATTGAATTAGTGTAGCAAAAGCGCGGCGTAATATAACCTGACGTGGGGCTATTTTTACACAACGCATTTGCAGGCGTTTGTAGGTCCATAGCATGCAATTTCAACCTGATCATGAATAATTATACTTATCAAATGCAAATAACTGGGAAATAGGACGTATGTTAATCTAAAGAGATACGACTCGGAATACTCAAAAGCCTCTATTGCCTTTGAAGGATGGAGAGTAAGTGTATATTATTTACAATGTATCAAGAATACTTACATTAATTTATGTTCAAGGATAGTAGAAGAATTTTGTGAACGGTACTATTACGAACTGATCATGCTTTTTTAAAGTCCATTGGTCAACCTGCCATCTGAGAATAGCTTTCCGCGAACACCCGGTGTCATCCCTTATTTTCAGTAATTCATTCATATAATTTTCACCGCTATTGTGCGTTCAACGCCTAATGAAACGTTTTTCGGCAGATAATCGAGACTGACGTTTTATATGTCATCAATATTCTAGTTTGCTTGTTCTAGTCAAGGTATATTGTACCTGTAGTGTTATGCAAGTTCTGCCCACATGCTACGGAAGTCATAATGAGCCGACACATTCACAACATATCATAGTGTTGAAACGTCAGTGGCTGCTAAGTCCCTATTTGGATGTGCACTGACATGCACATGTTCATCACCATAACCGAAGACTGTACTTAAACGAAAAGTAACACGTACGTTAAATAGATATTAATAGTAAGTTAACATTGGAAGAAACAAAATGGCCTGTACAGAGTATTGTGACGTGGACATATTCTGGGAGAAACGGGAAAGCCCATCTCTTGGTATTTATAGAGGGGGAATGCCCACACTTTATTTAGAACATTGTAAAACTATTGTGTCCTCGCACGTCAGTGTCGCAACTGCGGTCGTTGTCGGCTCAAGTACTACAGAGAGGCGTTCCAGGTACCTTCCTGTGTACACAATTTAATGCCTTGCAGCATTTACGGCGCTAAAGTGAGCACTGTGCAAACAACACACTTACAACATGTTGAACACGCGACTGAATTTACGTCACAGCCAAACTCAACCGGTTTCATTTATCGTGAAAGTAGGCAGTGCTCTCTCGATATACTGCAAGGCTAGGATATATCGGGGTATAAACAAAGATACCTGGTGTCCTATGTAATTGTCGGATACATTTTCTTGATATATTTTACTCCTGTGATTGAACAATTTTGCTGACTGCAAGTGAAGGTGAGCAACTGAGCCACCTAACTAACTTATATGCATAAAATTATATAATGATGTCTGATGCAATAATGATTCATTTTGAACTCCCGGATACCTGGCATCATCACTATTTGATACTGATCTATAACCATTTACTGATGACGTAGAGTCAGTTCAGTTGTCCCTGCGTGTAGCAGAGATTTCGTATGATTATGAAAAGAGTGAAGCGTTTATTTAAATTATTGATACTCTGAGTGAATTTATATTATTCGTTTCAGAATGCGAATCTTGCAGTCGAACAGAAGAAAAGTACAAAAATAAATATGGTTATTTAACCATACTGTTAATACATGTATGTAGGGCCACTATAACCAACAAGAAAACACCGGAAAAAGAGGAGGCACTGCATCAGCTCGCAAAAGCAGCAAACGCTTTGCTAAATGCGGACGGTGGAAAGCTTTTGATACACGTTGACGGTCAGCAGAAATGGGACAGAGACTTGGAAGTACTTGATGAAGCTATTGGGAAAAGATTTTCTACTCTTCTTCACGATGGTTGTCAATACTGTGACTATTTTTCACGGGAATGGTTGTCGAATGTCAAGTCGTTTGAATATGCGGATGACTTTCTATTATTCGGAATTGCCAAAATAAATGGTGTATCGACTTTAGATAGTAAAACCAAGATGCGAAATGACTTTGAAAATGTAAATGCTCCATGTGCTGTCATCGCTACAATACTGCAATGTTGTGGAGATGATGAAACGCAACACCCTTCAAACATAGTTCCACACACCGGTATTGACGATATACCATTGCATGAAGACAGAGCGACAGAGTTGAAATCGTTTCCACGACAGCAAGAAGGTGCAACGGTTGAAAGTGTAACTAACTGCATTTGGAATGATTTGAAACTGAAACACAATATCACTTCAATGGCAAAGCTTCCGAGAGGTGGGAGATTCTGTATCGGCATCCCAGAGACACCCTATCCAGGAGATTATAAAACTAAGACACGGCAAAAAATTGGATTTCATCTCCGCGTCGACATAAATGAATTGATACAAAGTCTAGACAATAAATTGAAAACGGACATGTTAGTTTTAACTGGCAGAGGAGCATTTAGGGAAGCACCTTCAGATTTGATAGCGGTACATGTATATCCAATTCAGGGTACAAACAAATGTGTACTTAGTGTTAACATAAACCATTTCAATGGTATTGTGTTCCATGATAGGGCAGGACCAGAAGTTTACACATTCGAAAATGGAGAAATTTGTCTGATGTCCAATGACATTTGGTTACAAAGACTGTTGTCGTTTTCTCGTCAACCAATAAGCACGCGTGGGTTGATGCACCGATCGCCAAATTTCCCAAGAAGACATCTATGAGTTTAATCACGTCTGTCTGTCAACTGGCTTATACATTGTGTTGTCAGAAAACACTTTCATTTAATGTGTCGAGAGTTCATATCGTGATCCTTTTAACTCATATATTTCAGATAGCGGACAGGGTAATCCCACTGATGTTGTCAAACTGGTACTCCTGGGGGTAACAGGATCCGGTAAAAGTGTCACTGGTAGCAACGTCCTCAACAGAGAGATTTTCAACAAAGGTGTTTCTAGCCAGTCACAAACACGTCAATGTCAGAGAGGTGAGGCCAAAAGAAATGGGCGCGAGATTCAATTTATTGACACACCTGGCATGTTTGACACCAATGTGACGATAGGAGAAATTGCCAGAGAGGTGGCCACGTGTGTTTGGATGACGATTCCGGGTATTCATGCTTTTGTCCTTGTGATCAAGGTCGACCGCTTTACCATTACAGATAAAACTGCTGTGGAATCCTTTTTACAAATATTTGGAGACGCCATGATGGACTATCTGATAATCCTATTTACAAGGAAGGATGACTTGATTCACGAAAATCTCACCATTGAAGAATTTATTCAAAAAGTACCAGATAAGCTGAAGGCTCTACTCCTAGCATGTAAAAGCAGATTTGTGTGTTTCAACAATAGGGCACAGTCTGAGAATGAGCGGGATCAAGATGTGCAATCATTACTCAATGTAGTTGATAAAATGGTATCTGCCAATGGAGGAAAATGCTACAGTAACTGGATGTATGTTTCCGCGGAGAGGATTATGAAGGACACTGAGGAACAGTTGAAGCTGGAGCAGATATTGGAGGTTAAGAAAATGAAAGATTCCATCAGGCGAAAGTGGAAGGAAAAACATGAAAAGGCTAAAGCTGAGACGTCTGAAATTGTAGCCCAACTTCAACAGAGACTACAAGACTTGAAACAGAAAAGTTCAGATGATGCTATGGAAACATCAGAAATACACACACTGAAACAAGAGATTCTGGATTACAAAAGAATGGTAAGAAAACACCAAAGAGAGTATGAGGAGGAATGTTTGCAACGAGAACAAGAGATAGAAAATACTATGTATTTGAAGTTCAGAGAAACATTCCGAGAAGAAATGGTAAAAGGGGCAAAGATCAATATTCGTGATCTGGAAACTGCATTAAAAATGTTTGCAACTGAGGTAACGGGTATGTTATCTACCATGCTCGGGGTGAACCTCGAGCTCCCTTCAAACATACACGATAGTCTTAATGGCAAATAGATTCCACATGGACATAGGGGGGATAATACATATCAACGATCACCAAGGACACATCAGTGTTGTTCAGTGCAGATGGTGTACCCTAAGTAAGGGACCGATCATTTAGTATTCACGGGGTTGTGATTATTGTTTACACCAGGATATTTTTCGGTTTTTACTTTGGGACATACAAATGTTTTTTGGAAGAGACTTTTGTCCATTTTCCTTTCAAAACTTAAAGCATGACCGGTAAAGAATTTCTGTTTTTGCAAAGCTGAAATGTGTTGATATCAATGGAAAACTACATAGCAACTATGTACAGCAGAACTAGAATCATGTTTGTGACTGTGCAAATGCATCCTTCCAATGCAAGTAGAAGTTCATATGGTAAACTGCCAATATCCTTTAACTCTATGATACTAGGACATGTATATCTTTTATTCACCAGGTATGTTTCTCCAGATTGCACATAAGCTGCATTCAAAACCTGGGTCACCAAACCCTGAACCTAAGCATTATGATCATTCATTGTCTGTGTTTCACGAGAATCCCTAAACGAGACTATATCTATATCGCGTTCATCACTGAAATATTAGCCTGCTTCTCTCGAACATATTCTGCTATCTGGTCGACAACATTAGTGTCTATCAACCTACCCGTGCTGTTAGATGTTTGAGAGAGAGAGAGAGAGAGAGAGAGAGAGAGAGAGAGAGAGAGATGGGGGGTATCCATCATTTTTTGTCTCAATGCATCCCGCTTTTGAATGTGCTTTTATCATGTTCAGGCATTGGCAGTATCTACATTGATTTGCATTGTCAGTCACACTATTAGTATATTCTTCTTGTTACGTATGAGACAGATACGCCTAACCCTACATGTCTATTCCTGCACTTTGACAAAATTATAAGAAGCAAGTCCGTATTCATTTACAGATATGTTAATGGCATCCACAGACATCAATTGTGATGCTAAATTTAGTGAGCTGACTTTTTGGGAAACAGAATGTTCTGTCCCTTGGATCTTTCAAAGACCCATAAAGATTCAACTACACATATCAGTGTGCCCCCTTTCTTCCTAATAAAGCAAGCACCAGAGCCTGACAGATAAAAACAGCATAATCAATGAAAACATTCTATGTTTAATACAAAAATAGTTTTCTACCAACCAGCAGATTTCCCAATTCCCCATGTTTAATCACTTTTTATGAAAGGCGAGCATGCTCTATCGATAAATGAAAGAACAATTAATGGTTGAGACTTTACAATCCAAGCAAGGCAAAATATAGGAGACACCTCCGAGTAAAACGGGAATTTCGTATGGAAAATGACTTCATGAGAATTGTATATCAGTGCGTGATTCGATACTAGCGCGAAGCTAGAGTTGTACTGTGTGTATTGTGATTATGTAGATTCCTCTGTGTTTGTACAGTCAGAGATATTGTATATGTGTATTGTGTCACTCCACAAATATGTTATAAAATACACAGTTGTTGTTGATGTGAGAGTGGCTGTGTTATTTCGAGCTGTAATTATAATTATAAACCTATTTCATATTCTTCACCCGTGTAGTGTAATGGTGTCGTTGGTGACATTTTGAGGCAGGTGTGTGCCAGCATTTTAATGAACATCTGATATATGTAAAATTATAAGTGTAAATATTGTCCATATTACACGTCAATGCTTGAATATATCATTATACAAATATGTCACAGTTTTCATCAATTGGTTAACGAGACTTTCATGTCTGTTGAGAACATACTGTCAGTTCGTAAATAGCATCATCCGAGCCAAGCACGAACCGCCAGTTACAAGTTTGTTCTCTAACTAAAAACAACACATCCTTACTTTCCTTGTAAAATATTTGAAAAATATGCAAGAACTCTTTGTAGTCTGTATTTTTATTGTGTGAGTCGCCCTTCAGTTAATGCACGTAAAATGTTCTTTGTTGTGGAGACACGTGGTATAAACGCGGTCGCGAGTTGATCTTTACAATGATATTATCAACGTGATCAGTGTAACACGCCCTTGTCGGATCTCAAGGGATATAAAATCAAAGCCCCTTATGGCGATTACTAGTATCTGCCAGCGAGCTGATCCTGTGTCCGATATTGAACCAAATGAACTCCTTGAACGCGGACAGCTTAGCACCAAATCTTCAGATACTGTGTTTGTCTATCAACAGGTATTCGACCATTATGAATCACATCAAAATATCAACAAACTCCCGTCATCTGACTGTGTCCACTCCGCGTATGACAAATCCTCCTGAAATCCCACATGCACACGTTTCCAAACAGTGACACTTGTCTCAAATCACACACAATGTTAATTAAACTTGTTGTCCGGATTAAACTGTAACCGGTTCTCTTGTCATTCCTGGTTTCGGCTGTCTCATATCTGGGTCAAGTCGGGTCATTCATTCCGACACTGTGACAGCAATCGTACTTTTTAAAGTTTAGCTTCTTTTCGTAACTTTTCTCTAACAAACACGACTTCTGTACATTACATCTATGTTGTTGTTATAGGTTTTGGCATTTTTGTCAAATGACACATAAAAAAATTGACAGGTTTTCCGTGTTTCCTCTTCTCAATGTGAAATGCATGTATCTGCCGATGCACGACGGGGGCTGTCTGTCAGTGACGAGATCTTGTCAAAACAAGCTTTGATTAAAAAACCTGATGAACCTTTTTGGAAACCTGTCTTCTTTATCAATGCTAGATAGTGTACGCTGTGTAAATCGGACAGAAATATAACTGCATTAATGTGCTCTTTACAATTTTTTAACAGAACTATATTTTCACGCGTAACAACACGTTAATTGAGTAATGCGGTTGGAATGAGTGGACAGTGTTTTTTCACACGCGGATTGATACAAAACAGCTGATTCTTGATCGGCGAGAGTTGATTGTTTTTTTCTTGAAACATGTCTTAAATATGAATATGGGTAATAAATAGAATAACCCACTCGTGAAATTAATGTTTTAAGTTCCTCGCTAAAGCTCGGAACTTAAAACATTAATTTCACTCGTGACATATTTTCCGTAATCACTCGTACCGAGTGGGTTATTCTATAAATATATCATACACACATGTATATGTTACTGTATGTATATGAGTACGGTATGTTGTGTGACACAATAATGATAATACAATAATAACTCTATACTTATCTGATCTTATCCATATTGACTGCAACATTCATTCACCCGCACATGGAATGGTCGTTATTGTGGCGACAGTGTTATTATGATGCTTCCTCATATACTAAACACTTATCTAGTGGGAATAAATAAACAAACGGTGTTTCTGCTGTATTAACTTTATTTATAATTATGTAGGTTGTATCAAATAGGATCAGCGAATTCATTACTTATGGTGTGCAATAAGGAACACAGGCCTAATCAGTACTTCACTACCGTCTTAAACAACGTTTGTATGTACAGGCATCCCGTACGGATTACATAAAACACCACGATAATGTGTGCAGAACAATACACTTGTATAATAAAAGGAATAAAACATATAGATACTACGGTCAGGCATTTTAATTCAACATTTATTAATCTTGTAGTCGACGAAAAACTCAACTCATCTTCCATTGTTTCATTAAAGGTTTTGCTGGGGAAGGCAGGGTTGATGGAATGATTGTAAGAAGTACAAAACCTTGATAGAAACGATGATATATCTGGCTTCTTTAGTTGGTCAAACCGCACATGTATGTAAAATCCATACCGCTGTTCCTTTGTATTCCCTTTGTATTCCTGTGCATCTATGCCTTTTTCTTGTCATTAGTCGCCTTGCTTTCCGTTTCAGAATCTGCCTTTGTTTTTGTTACAACACTGGCTGTCTTGGTATTTTGATGTTTTTTGTCTGTTTGTTTGCTGATCTTGTCAGTTGCCCTCTTAAACCCAGCACCTATCACATCTCCCAATCCTCTCGCAAGAGCATCACCGATTCCTCTGCAAACTGATATAAACACAGTCTCCCCTAAGAACTTCAAAACAGCCATCCCCTTCCCTTCGTTGCTGTTGACTTCCTGCTTCGCCTGTTCCCTGAAATCTGGCGTCACTGACTGATTATTCAGTTTTCTTTTAGCTGCTTCTTTCTCAGCTTGAGCTTTCTGTTCCTCAGCATCCCTCTTTACATCTGCCACTAACTGTTTCATCTCCTTTAGTTCCCCTTGAAGTTCTCGTACGACTGACTGTGATTCGTTTTCCTTTTGCTTTCCTATTTCCAGTTCGGCAATTTTCGCTTGTAGAGCTTGGACCACCTCGTCCGTGTTCTTGTTCATTTCTTGCAGCCTCTCTTTACATTCATCTTCTATCTGCCTTCTTTCCCTCTCCACATTCGCCTGGTGCTCCTTCTTAAGCTCATCCTCTCTCCTCTTCATAGCCCGTTCAGCTTCCTCGTACATTTCATTGGTGTAGTATCTGTTGCCATTTTCCCTCACAGTTCTATCCACGAGACTCAGGAAGTTTTGAACATCCTGATTTCTTTCAGGCTCAGACCCTCTGTTGTTGAAAGCAATATAACGATTATTGCAGGAGTCTAGAAGCTGTCTCAACGGTTCGGGTGATGCGCGAATGAAATCTTCGATTGAATTACCATCAGCAATCAGGTCGTCCTTTTTAGTGAAAAGGACCAGAAGGTGTTTCAGCATGTCGTGACCAAAGACGTTCTTAAAATGTTCCACTCTGTTTTGCTCTTCTTGGGTAAAACGATCGATGCGTAGAACCAACACAATAGCATGGGGGCCCGGAGCTGTCATAGCAATACATTTGACTATTTCTTTGGTAACATGTTCATTAGTCATTCCTGTATCAAACAACCCTGGACTGTCAATGAGCTCGATGTTTACTCCATATCGAGTGGCGGTTCCTCTTTGGCAATTTTTGGTCACCGATGATCCACAAGAGCTTGAAATAAAAACATTCTTTTTAAGAATGTTGTTTCCCGTTGCGCTCTTACCAGCACCAGTTCGCCCGAGGAACACGATTCGTCTATCCATGCTGGCAGAATCAGGGACGGCGGATTGCATGATCACCAGGGGAAGGTAATTGCGTTCGTGACAAGAAACATAGGCTTGGTACAACCTGGAAAGAAAACAACATTCACTGTTTTAAGACAACATAAACACATTATTTTTTTATATGGGCATTTGATTGGCCCTAATTTATTTTTTATTTCATTGTTTCCATGCATATTAAGGTCACGTTATTCATAATGCGAGTGATATATATTAACATATATACCTATAAGTGCACGCCTTTGAAACATTTCAAGTGTTAAATTGAATATTGTTGATTGTGTCACCCAGATTGTCCTACTGAGATGTGCTTTCAATAGACATTGCTTCGGTTTTCCTTCACATTACCCAAAGTGTCATGTTTCTGATTGTATATTACCAATTACATTGAAAGATAGTTATCTAAAACATTAATTCACTCTCATCCATTCCCGTCACAGCGTGGAGGAAACTAGGGTCACAGTTTTAGTTTAAATTTGGTTCAAAGCTTTACATTGAGGTACACATGGCAATAAATCACAACAATTTTAATCTTTGATTTTAGAAAAAAACATTATATATTGTGTGAACATGTTGACCAATGTTGGTAATGAACGTGTTTCAGAGAGCCATTCATAAAATTTTCACCGCTAGTTTGCTTAGACATTGATTCCGGGTAACATCTGTTCATATTCGTCATGTTAGTGATCAGGACTCACAGTCCAATCCACCGAACGGTCTAGCAAAGTGTGACATAACACATTCAAGACAAGACAAGACACCACCGTCTCACGGTTGTCCCGGGCACGCCCAACAAACACCAGCCCTCCATAATCAGGTAACGGTATTACGTATAACTATTAATCACATAAGCGTACGCTATCGATTCGTGATAATGTGTTAAATTCTAATCAAAAGTATCCTATAACACTGATTATAAACTACCAACAGGTAGGTACGTACCCTTTGGTGAAGCACGGGTCGTCCGTTGTCAAATCTAGTTTGAACACTGTGGAGAATGACAACACGATATATTTAGACTGGATATACCCGTAATGTGGACAGTTGTGGGAGCGTTGTTATGGAGCTCACAGTGACTATGATGTCGCTGGAAATAGAGTCAGCGACAGTGCCCGTCTCCGATTTTCAGATAATGGATACACACTATTTCATTACAGGCGTTTCAGTCGTTGTGTAGAGCGTCACGCGCTGCTTACCTGGGGAGGTTGTGTCATCAATTCGTGAGTGTAGTGAGTCACTGCAAGACACCCTGTTATCGCTGCTCGCGATTGTAGATTCTCGGGGAGGAGAAAATCTTCCTGAGGAATCTGTGTTGGAGTTATGCTGAAAACACAGCCGGGTACATATTATAGTATAGATGAATATTTTCGAGATTTCTTGAGGCTATGGAAAGGGTTTTGTCGCTTTTAATTCATTCCCCCTTTCTTTCAAGTAGCTAACATGCTTCAGTGAATAGTTATCACCATGATAGGACATTTGTTGAAGAAGTTTGAGTTTGATGATTTGGAATATCAATAGATTTTGCCCCTGAAGCATATTATGTTCAATTCATCCCTCAATTTACATTAGTTTCATCAGTTTACGTTGTCGTTTAACTTCATCATATTGATACATATTTTTTTCTCAGACATGAGAGTGAGTTAAAGATTCGCATGGGAAGTTGAGGAATTTCAACAATAATGGGTAAGAACCTATATACATTTTGATAGGTATTTCTAAGATAATGGGATTTAACGTCGCGTTCAAGATTATTGCATGTATATAGCGACGTGCATGTGGCGCTGTTTGTACTAGTCCGGACTAATGCTGATTAATACCGGACTGAGATACCATGCCCCAGGTTAACATGAATACCCCACTCAGACACAGTATACTGACTCCGAGCCGGCCAGTCCTTGTTTTAGCCCCTTAATGCCGAGCGCCAGACAGGATGACAACAATTACCATCTTTTAACGTCTTTTGGTATGACGCGCCCGGGGTTGGAAGTGACCTTTCGCTCTCTGTGCGGGCGCTCAAGGAGGTGGTCTACGAAGAAGTTGACGAAGTAAGCACAACATATGGACAACAACTTCTTTAACATACTCTTATAGCGATGTTTCGGTACAGATCATGATACCGTTGTCAAAGAAGTTGTTATCCATAAATTGTGTTTACTTTGTACTTTACACATATCCAACATTCTGTGCTGCACTACATTTGATTCGCACATTTCTTCACGAATATACTTTACGCTAATGTATGTGCATGAGAGAGATTCGCGAGGTCACGTGTGTACATGCACTTGATCATGCATGACCGTTACGTTACACCTATACCTTCAAGCCAACATATACCTTCAAGCCAACATATACCTTCAAGCCAACATATACCTTCAAGCCAACAAATACCTTCAAGCCAACATATACCTTCAAGCCAACATATACCTTCAAGCCAACATATACCTTCAAGCCAACCCAAACCTCACCTGTTTTATTTCATCAAACCCCATGGCTCACACAGATATGTTGTTTGTTCAGGGTGGCAGTGTCAACACTGTACATATCTCAATGGTCCGAAGTCATTGAAATGCACCATGTGCTCAAACCCGAGATCGCTACTACAGAATGCAGCAATATCAGGAACATGTCTGCCAAACGCTGAAAAAGGTAACGCTTTTTTTT